TTGTTCACGGTCGTGCGATAGCACCAGGTACTAGTGTATTCTTTTATATATTATGGGATTGATTTGATCCTTATAGTTAATGTGTATGTTTGCTTAATGATCCTTTCTTTCATAAACAGGCTATGGAACCTTGTTTGACGCAGTGCAATGTTTCGGAGGATTTGAACCGTGTCATGATCATGGGGACGTCGGTTGCACTGCTTTTTGTAAAAAGTATAAGTATGATTTTGGCGTATGTACTAAATATAGCGGATGTTGTTGTCATGTACATATTGATAACTAAATCAGTCCAAGATGAATTGAACTAATCAAAATGTAATGGTATTTCCTTCAATAATAACATCAATTGTGACCAAGTGCTGATAGCTCAATTGATAAAGATCTCTGACAAAAGCTTAGAGGTCGCCGGTTCGAGTAGTGCTTGGAACGAAATCATATAACATGCTTTGGTTTCGGGTCTGAGGGGATGTATGGGCTTCGGTCCAGAACCTCTTTGATTATTCAAAAAAAAAAATTAATAACATCACTTGTTATCGGAAATATATTCATCTTCAATAGCCTAATCAAGTAATCATCGTAGGAAAAATACTCCAAATTCAATATGATTGAGATTACATAATATCAAACTTGATTAAATCTGTTTGATTTAACATGTCTTGTATTGGTGTTATTAAAAAGTAGTATAATGAAATCTTAACCTCGGCCCATTTTGAAGTATTAAAGATTCAAACTCGTCCCGTCATACAATCCGTCATACAACCCATGTATAAATGTTATATTTAAACTAAACAAAATTTGTCATAATTGCTTTCATATGTATTTCGCATAACAACTTATAACCGAGAAATTAAACTCATGTTTAGTCGTAAATTACCAATAATTTTGTGGTTGTTATTAATCCGGTTCCACAATTTTGGTCGATTTGGTTTTAATTGTGATAACATAATTAATTGTTTTACAATGATTTGAAAATTTAGAATAAATGTGTAGGTGTAGTTCTGTCCCAAATTTTGTGTTGATTTTTGAATAATGTATGGCAAACTATTGAATTGGTTTACAACAATTAAATGAAATTGTAGCAATAAACGTCTACTATAGTATTTTTTGGCAAAAATGTTGCAAAAATACTATAGTAAACTAGATTTTACCCCGTGGTACACCACGGGTCCATCATTTAACGTGTCTCTCTTATATAGAATTCTAATCGGTTATAGTTTAATCTGTTCTAATTAGAGTTGGTTTAGCATATTATTCGAAGTCCAGCGGGAATAATGTATCGTTTGCGGTATATATATATATCAGGTTTTGTACTTATATATGAGAATTTACCCTATGGTACATGACCACGAGAAAATTTATTAGTTTATGTTTTTATAATTTTTTTTATGATTTTTATTATAAACTGATTGACTTTTTTTTTTAACTCTTAATACAATTGAGGCAGTGTTATATTTTGTTTTTGTGTATTTTGCAATAAAACTTGTATTTTTATTGCATTTAATATTTGTTGGATTTGAAAAAGCCAGAGTTTTGTATGTGTAATACTATATTAATATAATGAAACTAAAATTAGTACTCAACGTTATGTGATACATGACACGTGGAATGAAATGATACGTAAAAATTAATCTTATAAATATTTTATAACTAATTATATAAAAATTTTAAGTTATATTTGTTTGTTTGTTAGTAATGTTTGTTTTGTATAGTGTTTAAAATTTTATAATTTTGTTTGTAGAACATCGTATACGGCAAGGTTACATGTTTTACATAACATTAATTTAATGAACTTAATTAGATAAGTCTAATATTCTAATATTGATGGTGTTAGCAGAATAATAAATATTTAACCCGTATTCGTGGGAATAATGAGTAAATCATCATACCTTATATCATATTCTGTAATATATCCCCGTTTTATGATATTTCTAACCTTTATAATTTAAATATTCATTATATTTTAATACATTTAATAATTATATTTTAACGGTGTTATATATATGTTGTTTTTATTTACCAAATTTATACTATGGTGAATTTCTTGTTTTTAACATAGATGTTACAGTAAAATTTGTCATCTTGTATGAAATTTTAATATTTTTTAATATATTTTCAAATAGGAAGTATGACTAATTTTAGATATAGAAAAGTAATGGGAATGAATCAAACTTTATACTAAAATGCAAAAAGAGTGATTTACAAAATTATAGTAAATTTTCAATTTTAATGTTTGAGAAATAACTTAGTGAAAAATAAGAATACTTTAGTTATTCTTACTTTAAATATTGATCGTGTTAATAAAATAATAAAATGACTATTTATCCATATTTCTATGTTATTTTATATATATTGTTATAACCCGTTAGGTGACCTCCAAAAAAAGTAATAACCCGTCCTACTATATAACCCCGTTATATGATAAGTTAAACTTTATATATGTTTAAATATTTATAATATCTTAAAATTTAAATTCAGTTTAAATTTATTAGTTAAAATATTATAGTTATAATAATTAAAAACATAAAATTTTATTAAATCGTATGAACATTTACATATACGTTAATTTTTTAAATCATTTGGTAAACCACGGGTCCATTTTTTTAAATTAATCATTAAAATGAGTTAATTAGTTTACTAATATGATTTTTTAAGTTAATATAAATGTTAAGATGTTATATATATGTCGTTGTATTTACCAAATTTACCATGTGGTAACTTTCTTGTTTTTAATATAGATGTTACTTTGTTATAGTATATATTTTGGTGTAATTTTAATAACTAATAATATTCGTTATTGAATATATGTCGTGGAGTTCGAAAAAACTATACGTATGCGTATTTTGTTTTTTTAAATGCACTATAATTAAATTCATATTTGCTAAAAAAATATATTATATTTTGATTCGTCATTTATATTGCTTAATAAGATTTGGTATTTATGCTTGAAAAATATCCATATCCATGATCACATTTACTATTGATATCTATATATATTTCTTGAGCTGAAAAATATGATCAGAAAGTGCATGCATGTGTGGGAGATAGACAATGTCTGTTAATGAGTCATACTCGTTCAAAAGCTGTAGCCTCTCAAGATCATGAGCTGCAGAAAGAAAAATAATATTGTAAGAATAGAAAATAACTTCAATTGATGGGAATCATTGATAAGAGGAGAGTAAGTGCAACATACCAGTGCTTCACAATCTTGTTCTTCTAGCATTTTTACAAAGCTGTATCCACCACAAACACAGAAAAAAGAAAGTCATGGTTATTTAATTTTCTTTAAACTCACTGAAAACTTATTAGGTCAAAATAACAAAGCTATTAGAATCATAATCGGAAATATAGCATATTTTCAGATTAGAATCATAATCGGAAATAGAGCATATTACGACCTAGGATCTATTTTAAAAGAACATTTGTCTGAGTGTCAAAGTGTTTAGGTCCCAACTATTTATAGGAGATTATTTACGCATAAGATTTATTGTTTTACAAACAAATTAGTGACTAATTATTCGCATAATTAAATTCTGATTTTTAAGAATATTCCAAGTCTATGTAATTTATTTGATTCATGACAATAAATCAGTTTCCATTTTCGATTTTGTAGGTAGATATTTAGGGAAATATTTTTCGGTACATTAATATGATTAATGTTTATATTTTAAGGGAATAATAATAATAATATGGAATTGATTGTGTTGATTACCAAAAACGGATTTATAGCTTGGAACCGATATAGTTAGTTCCCTTATTTTTAGGATTTAAAATTTGATTAGTAGTTAATGTTGCTAGTTTTTTGAAACTTTGATATCATATTAAATTGTATTTATTATGTTTACTATAATAATGACAACTTCGATTTTTCTTAAATAAAAGACTAAGATCCATCATTTGCAATCGGGTCAAAAATTAAAATGAAAAACCGACCCGATAATTAATATTACACAAGTAACCTTAATGAGCTTTTTAAAAATGATTAGTAGTAAGGGTAATTAGTGGAAATCGATTTTTTAAAAGGGTGGTCAAAAAATGGTTGCAAAAATAATAAGATAGATTACGTGAAGGTGAATGAGTACGTTCAGCCCGATGGGTGAACCCAAGAATTGTCCCTTTGTATAGAAGAAGTTCTTACTTTAAAATTTTGATTCATGGTATATAATACATGACCATAAAATATATATAGTGAACTACATCAACAAGTATGACTCATGTACATGTCTCGTAATTCCATAGCAGATTTGCGAGAAACTATTTCCATCGCAAATATCCCTAGCAATTTGATTGTTTTCTTGTAGTATATATAAACCAGCTAACAGACAAAATGGTGTCAATACCATAACCATCCTATACTTAGATTGTATTAAGAAATCTGCAAAGAAATAGTTCTTAGCTCTGTCTGTTTTGCTATTTCCTCATCTTTTTAAGTTGTTCAGCAAACCCCTGATATTGAGTGGCACATACACCAGTTCGAGGGAGAAACCATGCACACTGACAGTTGGTTACATTCATATACATGGAACTACCAAAAACTTGCACACTGAGAACACCTACAATAAGATGGCCCAAAATACCATTAGCTAGCTTCTACCACACCCATGAACTTGAACCCGAGTTTTAAAAACCAAATAATTTACTGTATATTGTACAAATTAGTATTTCAAGTTGTTTCTCATCCGTTTTAGTATGCACAATTGACATTTATTTGTTGAACATATGCAAAAAAAAATAAAAAATAAAACGTATGCAATGTACTTTTAATATAGTTTGGCCATTGACCAACTAATTAGGTAAGAACAGTCATTATTCATGATTTTGTTTTGACTAAATATCTATAAGCAAATCATTTGAAAGTCCACGTTCCATTTATTTAATTTTTACCATAAATGACCTTTTCACATATGTTTGTGTATGTCAGTGTGTATATATATAATCACTTAGCAGTCATCTAATTAAATTAGAAAATTCCATTAAAAAAAACTTAAGAAATATCATAAGAAATGGCTATGAAAACTTCAATCACATTTGTTTTGACTATATTTTTCATCATATCTTTTGTTCACAGTCGTAAGACAACACAAGGTACTAAAATTATTGTTATTACAACAATTTAATTATGATTATGTCCTTTGTTTATATTGGTTTTAATGATCTTTACCAATGAACAGGTTATAGAATGTTGTTTGACGAAGTGGAATGTTTCGGAGGATTTGAACCATGTCGTGGTCATGGGGATGTAGTTTGCACTGACTATTGTAAAAATTATCAGTTTGATTATGGTGTTTGTACTCAAGATAGAGGATGTTGTTGTCATGGAAATATCCCGGCTTCAAATTATTAAGGATACGAATCACAAATGATTTGATCTGATTTAATACAAATATCCTAGTATGAATTAATCTAATTAATTAAAAAATGTATTGGTGTTTTCTTCAATAATAATATTTCAATAGTTTCAAGAATCAATCTGTAATCATATTACAAGAATTCCTAAATTCCAATATGAAATCTTCAATATAGCCCAATAACGAATCTGAGCTAAAACGAAAATAGTACCATTATGTCCATATTAAAATTATAACTGACATTAAACACTCTTACTTAAAAGAAATTCTTTTAAAAAACCACTGAAATACATTTTTTACAAAAATGTCACAAAACTAATACTAATTTTTTAAACATTCAAAACAAATTTCTAAATCATAAAAATCAAATCTTACCTTTAAAAATATTGTAACGCTTGGAAAATAATAGGAGACTTATTAGCAAAGGTAAGATTTAATTCTTAAAGGTAAGATTTAATTCTTATGATATTTTTTAAAAGGTAAGATTTAATTCTTATGATTTAGAAATTTGTTTTGAATGTTAAAAAAATTAGTATTAGTTTTGTGGTTGATTTTCTTGTAGTCGGTTTAACTCCGGTTGATTTTCTAAACTGGTCGATTTGTCAACTGAATCAAATGAAGTTTAATTAATATCGGTTTAGGTAAATCTGATTAAACCAAAAACCCTACTTTTATAAGGAACGCCTCTTTTCTCTTTTGTTTTGTTGCGGTTTGTTTCTGAGAATTTAGTTTGAGAAAAGGAGAAGGAGAAGTTCACTTGTGAGAAGAAAAGAGTTAGTTTTGCTTTGGTGTATAAGGCAAGAGAAGCAGATTCGTCACGTCTTGGTAGAATAGAGTTACGACATATCAAATCTTATCGAAAGGTAACGAAATTTGGTAGGTTTGTTTTTAAGAGATGTAAATTGATTCTCCTTTTTACAAAAAGGAATTTGGATTAAAACTCAGTGAGTTATATGCAGTTTGGTGAAACGCGTCTGCTCTGTTGCGAACTAGAATCAGCGGAGTTTGTAAGTGCGATCGTGCTTTCATCGTTTTTCTGATCGGCACCAAATTTTATGGGAAACTTAGTGACGTCTAGACCGTGATTTTCACCAAAGGGATTAAGAAGTTAACGGTTAGTTTCTGCTTTAGGTCTTCGTTTCTGTGGCTGTAGTTTTTATGATGTTTCCATCTATTTTGGTTCGTAGAGATTTTGTTTGTGTGGATTGTTGTTGGCGTTGTTTGGCTGTTGCAGTTGTGAGGAGAGTCTTTCCAGGTTGTATTTGTTATTCAAATGAGTGCGTGACCATGAGCTTATCTAGGTGAACTGAAAGTGTTATTGGATGTTTAGCTTGCTGGATGGTTTGTTTATGTTATATGTGGGTGTTATCTCATTGTTTGTGTGTATAGCTCGTAGATGGGGGATCGCCCTCACTAAGTATTTATGAAATATTTATGCATCTCTTTTTGTGATGCAAGTAAAGGAAAAGTATGAACCATGGAATCATGGCGAGAAGAGGAGGATGATCTAGGGGCTCGTTGATGTTCTTGAATTATTGTCAGAATTGTTAGGTTGTTATATTGGAATTTAGAAGCATGATAGGGTGATTATGTTTCTGAAATAATTGTTGACTGGTTAGGTTTAATGGAATTGTTTGGTTTAATTGATTTAAATTGATTAAGGACCGGTTTAACTGGTTTGAATTAATTGGGTTAATCTGGATTGCATGTTAAAAGAAAAAAACGGGATGAGCTTGAAAATTGAAAGAACCCATCCCGTTTTTTTTAATAACATGCAAACCGGATTAACACGACTAATTAGAACCAGCTAAACTAGTTAAACCGGCCCTAATTAATTTAAATCAATTAAACCAACAATTATATTAAACCAGCAAGTTCAACAAACATTATTCCACAAACATAATCACCCTAGCATGCTTCTAAATTTCATTCTATCACCCTAACAATTCCAACAATAATCCAAACATCAATGAGCGTCTAGATCATCCTTCTCTCCTCGCCATGATTCCACGGATCACACTTTTCCTTTACCTGCATCATAGAAAATAGATGCATAAGTATTTCATAAATACTTAGTGAGGGCGATCTTCCCATCTATGAGCTATACACACAAACAATGAGATAACACCCACATATATAACATAAACAAACCATCCAGCAAGCTAAACATCCAATAACACTTCCAGTTCACCTACAAATCATCACAAACAAGTCACTAAATCTCAATCGCTTAGATAAGCTCATGGTCACGCACTCACCTTAACAAGGTGATTTGAATAACAAATACAACCAAAAGACTCTCTTCGCGACTGCAACAGCCAAACAACGCCCAACAACAATCTACACAAACAAAATCTTTATGAACCAAAATGGACAGAAACATCAGAAAAACTACAGCCACAGAAATGAAGCTCTAAAACAGAAACCAACCGTTAACTTCTTAATCCCTTCTGTGGAAATCACGAACTAGACGTCACTAAGTTTCCCACAAAATTTGGTGCTGATCAGAGAAACAATGAAACCACGATCGCACTTACAAACTCTGCTGATCAATTGGTAGCGCAACTTGTCTTGTGGGAAGGTTGTTAAAGGGTGAGGTTTTGGGTTCGAGTAACGCCAAGCGCACCAATAACCTACCTGGTGGGCCAGAGAGATGCGAGCCAGAGAACTACGCAGATTGGGCCCATAGGAGAGAGGGTAGGGTCGATGCACTGCAACGCTGTAAGGTTGCCATGTGGCAGAATCGCACAAGGCGGATTGTTACAAATATACCATAATATACATAGTCAATTCAAATCTAAAAAAAAAGTATATGCTTTCACAAATCAATTTTTTTTATGTTTATGGTATTTTTGAAAAAAAAAACTCTTTTATCTCATTTTGGGAAAAAAATTGTGGTATTGTTAGAAAAACAATTAAAAATGTAGCAGCGATGGAAATTTCTCGTTATTTAATTACAAGTCTAAAAAATCCTTTAAAACAAACAAAAAAAAACCAAAAAATATTGATTAAAAATATCAGCAATTGTCAATCATCAGGTAAAAATTTCTAATTTATTTAATATTTTAAAAAGTTTTGTTAACCTCATCATGCCTAAGGCATGGGACAGTATGTATACTGTATATTTACCTTTTACAAATTATTCATGAAATAATTACGTAACTTATATATAAACAATTAAGTTTTAATTCTTAATATACATATCCAATATGTAATCATAAACCTTTGCTTACTCCTGAATCCTTTCTTAGAATCGATTTCAATGGTTTCAAAGACAAAACCTCATGCTCATCATCAAAGGAACTAAAACTTCCTTTCGATGTCCTCTTCTTGATTCTTCTTGAACTTATTCGTATCTCATCAACTTCATCCTTTATGCTCACAATTTTTCTTGGAGCCTTTACTCTTTCTCCATCCACCGATACTGTTTCATTGCTAACCATGTTTTCTCCACCATTACTTATGATATTAGAGCCAATACCATCAGAAGTTTCATTCTTTGAATCAACTTTACCAAGTGGTTGTGGTAGGCCAAGTGTTACTTTCTTCAAGGCCTGTGTGGCTAATAACTTCACCAAGAAATCGTAGAATCGTCTCCAGATATTGAGAGGACATTGAACTTCTTGTTCTTTGTTTTCCATTTTTCGATCGAGTAGAGAGAAAAGCATGTTTTGGATTGGTTTTGGGAGTTTATGTATGGCTCAAAATGTAAGAAAAACAAAAACAAGAAGCAATGATGCATTGTCAATAATGAAGATATGATTAATTAACTTGTAAGAGTGGACTACTTTGGGGAAAAGAAGTAGATGAAGAATCTGCCGAAGTAACAAGTTTGGTATAAAAGATTTAGTAATCTGATTCTTTGATTTTACTTGAAGACATATTTTATACTGTATGTAGAAATGTAAATTCTTTCGCTGTATATGATGTATAGCCTAAACATCATTTGCTAAAAGGGGAAACGACTAAAGCAAATCCCAAGTTTTAAAATCTGATCGTTTAATACCTTAAAGTACACATATCATGAATTATTTTATTTCTCAAAACTGAAGTGTTAAAGTAAGTCAAATTTTGATAAATTACATCATTACTAATTGATAAACATCATTTGCTAAAAGGGAAAAAGACTAAAAGCAAATCTGATCATCGTTTAATACCTAGGGTGCATATATACACATATATTATATATAATGAAATAATTAATTTATAAAATATTAAAGTTATAAAATACTAGGTTATTAACCCGCGTTACACGCGGGTATATTTGTATTGATTGTTCAAATTATTATAGATTTAGTAATTATTTCAATGCGCTAATATGTATGTATCAATTATTATATAAAAAATTTAGACTTAATAACCATTTAAATATAGGTTGATTGGTACTACACAAAAATACAATAACATTTAAATTTTGATTTGTTTGAACATAAATGTTCTTTTATTTATATTTTGAGTATCATTCACAGTAAAACCTCTATATATTAATAATGTTGGGACCCCAATATTTTATTAATTTATAGTGATATTAATTTATCTATAAATTAATATTTATGATTTTATAGTATAAATTAATAATTATTAATTTATAGTAGTATTTTTAACTCTTAAAGTTTTTTGAAAATATGAATTGGGACAATTTCACAAAAATAAGATTCGTTTTAAAATTATATAATTTATTGTAGTTTAGAATTGAATTCTATGTTTAGAAAAAAATTTAACAATGAATTAAAAATATAAAACATAAATACAGTTATATACAAAAATTCAAATATATGATTAAAACCTCACTTATTATTTTTAACATCTTGTAAAACAAAAAAAAAATGAATATGATGCATATTTATAAATAGAAAACGTAAAGAAAATTTTGGTAATTTTGTGAGGTTATGGAGTATATTATAAGATGAGAATTTTTTTTAAAAATAAAACATAAATATTATTTATAGAGATGAGGTCTAGGAGAAAATTCATTTTACAGAAAAAAGGTAAAAGCATATTTCAACATATACATATATGTATATATATGTAATGATTATTATCTTATTATCTTATCGAATTTAGTTAATTTTTACACTGCCCTGACTTTGGACCAGCAAAATTTATTAATTTATAGTGTTAATTAATTTGTAGAGTATTAATTTATAGAGGTTTTACTGTATATTATTTAAAATATGGGATATTTGCACAACTAACCTTTTTATGATACCCTTTTCTACAAGTACCCTCTCTAGGTGTCCATTTTCAAAAATACCCTCTTCAATGTACAAAATGACTAAATTACCCTCCTTTATTATAACCCATGAAGAATAAAGGAATATTCTTTCCAACAAGAAGAATATTCCTTCCGAAAATTTTCCCGCCAAATTTTCCCGCCAAAAATTTCCCGCCAAATTTTCCCGCCAAAAATTTCCGCCAAAAATTTTACCGCCAAAAAAAATCCGACAAAAATTTTCCCGCCAAAAAAAATTTCCCGCCAAAAATTTTCCGACAAAATTTTTTCCGCAATTCCTTAAAAAAACCTTGTAAATGTTTATAAATCCTTTTAAAAATCCTTTAAAAACCCTTGTCAATCTTTTAAAAGTCATCCAAAACCTTTCAAAACTTGAGTAAACCTTTTAAAACTATTGTAAATCATTTTATAACATTTATAAACACTTGTAAATTTCTTTAAACCCCTTATAACCGTGATAAATCATTTAATAAAAACTTTTGTAAACTTATAAAACCCTTTAAAAACCCTTGTAAATCCTTAAAAACCATTTTAAAGAACTTGTAATACCTTTAAAAACTTTTGTAAACCCTTCAAAAACCTTTGTAAACTTCTAAAACCCTTTAAAACTTCTTGTAAATCCTTTAAAAATATTTTTAAATCTTTGTATGCCTTTAAATACACTTTTAAATCCTTTTAAAAACACTTGTAGATCCTTTCAAAAAACCTTTAAAAATCCTTGTAAATTTTTAAAAAACCTTTAAAAATCCTTGTAAATCCTTTTAAAACTATTACAAACTTATAAAAACTTTTAAAAACCATTGTAAATCATTTAAAAACCATTTAAAAACCTTTGTAGGCTTCTAAAACTCTTTAAAAACCATTACAAATCTTTTAAAAACCATTTAAAAACTCTTGTAAGTCCCTTTAAAAACCCTTGTAAACCCTTTAAAAGACCCTTTAAAAAATCTTGTAAACCCTTTAAAAAAATTTGGCGGGAAAACTTTGAAAAAATATTTTTTTTTGCGGGAAAATTTTTGCGGAAATTTTTTTGGCGGGAAAATTTTTCTCGGAAACTTTTTTGGCGGGAAAATTTTGGCGGGAAAGTTTTTGGCGGGAAATATTTGGGGGGAAAATTTTTGGATGGAATATTCATTCCTTTGGGAAAGAATATTCTTTCAAATAGGGGTAAAATGGCCATTAAAATATAAGAGAGGGCAAAAATGAAAATGGTAAAAAAAGAGGGTATTTTTAAAAGAGGGTATTATAAAAAGGTTATTGGTATCAATTTCTCTTAAAATATTGTGTTGATAAGAAAGAAAAAGTTAAAAAGTTTATATGATTAGTTAAAATATTCATATTAATATAATGGTGAACAAAAAACAAAAATTATAAAAACATTTGAAAATATCTCTGGTCTTTTTTACCTTCAACGCTCTAATGGAATCTTGTTATTTAAGTTTTTATGATATATCAGAAATATATGATGTAGACTTAACTTCTACGACTTCCTCATTTTAGTATCCGCAATTCCACTATTATTCCTCTTTACTACTCTCTTTATTTTAGCTCTTTTAAATATAACATTATATAAATCGTTTGACTATCTAAACTCATAAACTCTCTTTTGTACAACTATTATATTTTTATTTTTTTCATCCAATAAAAGTAATCAAATTGACTCAATGTACAACTATTATCTCTCATATAATATATGATCTATTAACAATATATTTTAGCACTTCTCATTTCTCCTAATCTAATCACAACCGTATGTAGTAATATATATAGTACAGCTACTACCTCTCATATATAATAAATAATCTTTTAACAATATATTTTAGCACTTATTATTTCTCCGAAATTTTGCTTGTATATATGTAATCTCTTATTTGAAATTTTTTACTTCATACATTTGAACAAACTTGACAAAATTAGTGATAGTAATATGGACTATGTAGTAATAATAATAAAAAAAATAAAGAATTCATATGTTTTTATAAAAATTGGTTTGTGGTTTTTACCTTAGCAATCGTCTGCCTAACCTCATATCTAATTCATTCGCTTCCATGATCATAGAAACTAATATAGAAAGTATTCCTAATAAAAAAAAAGTCCAATTAGAAGTTAGAATTGGACTAAATAATAAAAACAATACAACAAAATTTTAAGTGAATGATAAGCATCTCAGAAAAAGCAAAATAATAAAAAAACCATATCATCATAAAATAAATTACAAAAAATAATCAATTAGAGCTACAAATTTAAGCATATCCATTCAACTATATTGTATAGTAATGTTGTGGTGGAGATCCTATATTTATAGTTAAATTGTTAGGCTAACTTGTAGAATATTTACTTTTTAAAATTAGGAATTCACTCGAAAATAAATATTCAAAATATTTTTCATATATCTTTTATTTCCATATATCTTATTTTTATATCCTTTTTGCAAAAAATCTTAAAATTGAAAACAAAAATAATCTTTAAAAATGTTAATTAGTGAGATGGCTAATTTTGATTGATCGTTTAAAATCCTATGTGGACGGTCTTAGAAGCTTACAGCCTCAACTTTTATATAGTACTAGTTTAGTACCCGTCCGATGGACGGGTTATCTTTATTTAAAATTAAAATTTATTATAATTTATAAAAAAATAGTTTCCAGATCTTTTTTCGAAAAAATAAGAAAAATTATTTTCATTTGGAAAGAAATTTTACTTGGTTTAAAGTATCAAATAAACGTGTATATATATATATATATATATATCTTAAAATTCGTTATTAAACGTTAATTATAAACATCTAGTAATGTCAAACTGACAATCACCAAACATTTGGGAGCTATTTGGGAGCTATTCACCATTATTCATACCATTTTGTAAAAATTGTTCTTTCTTAACTTTCAATTTTTTTAAAAATCATTCTCAGACTATGAAAATTAATTAATTATTATTTAATATGATGGTAAAGTTCTTTCAAATTAACATCAATCTAAAATAAGATGTAAAATACAAATATAGTCATTTGTAAATAAGTTCATATAAACAACGCAAATAAACATAAAGATTCTAAAATAAATTATAGCATCGTTGAGGAAAACATTAAAAAATCTTTCAAATAAAAATTTTAAAAAACTAAATATATATTTTAAAAAATATTTTTAAATTATTATATTACGAATAATATTGAACTTTTGTTATCTTTAATTTAAGCTAAAAATATTATTTTCGAAAATCTTTTTTTCACCCTTATGTTTTAGACAATGAAATTGCTGAATGGCATAATACATTCATACATAAATTAAAAATTAAACAAATATAACATATTATAAAATAAAAATCATGAATAAAAATATTTATTTAGTTAAACTCAAAATCTATTTTATTTGTAAAATGTAAATCCTAATTCTCTTTGATGAACCCAAACTGATAAATAACATTGTTTAATTGTAAAACATAAACCTCACTCCTCTTCATAAACCCAAACTAATAAATAATCTCGTTTAAATATAAAATCTAAACTATAATGCGCATTTATAAACTCAAACAACCATATAAACCCTTATAATTGTAAAACCTACAACTGGCAAAACCAAAAATTAGGTTAATAATTGAAAGAGAATTTTTGAGAAATACCCTTTTTGGTGTACCCCTTTTTAAAAATACACCAAGTTTCTATCCATTTTTGAAAATATCATTTTTGGTGTACCCCTTTTTAAAAATACACCAAGTCTCTATCCATTTATATAAATACCCTTTTTCAAATATGAAAAAATTGTAAACTTTTATATAGTTTATAAGGTAAATCTAGATCATCATTACTACTGGAAGACTCAATACAAATATTTATAAAGTTTTAAAATGTTCTAAACGGAATTTATAAGACTTATATAAAGTTTACAAAGTTTTTATATGGTTTTTAAATAATTTTTGAAAGGTTTTTAAAAGGTATTTATACGGTATTTATGAAATATATATATAAATTTACATACATATAAAGATAATTTGTGTATATATATATATAAGCTTACACATATTTTTATTTATAAATATCAAATTTGTTTTACTTTTTAATTTATCAAAAATACCCTTTTTCCAATACCACTTTTTTAAAAATACCCATATTTCAAACTTTATCTAAAAACCACTAAAAATATTGAAATTTATCCAAATATGTGTGCAAACTTATAAATATACACACAAATTACCTTTATATATGTATAAATTTTCATATAATTTTCATAAATAACGTTAAATAACTTATAAATACCTTTTAAAAACCTTATAAACCCTTTTAAAAACCATTTATAAACCTTACAAAACTTGTAAAAATGATTTAAAACCTTTTAGAACGTTATAAAATATTTGTATCCAATTTCCAAGTAGTAGTTATTATATAGAAGTACCTTATAAACAATATAAAACTTTATAATTTTTCATATTTAAACATGAATATTTTTGAAAATGGATAGATAAAGGAGATATTTTTGAAAAGGGGTACACCAAAAGGGATATTTCTCAAAAATTCTCTTTATTTTTTATAATTATTCTATATATTTTATTTTTTTAATGTTGTTTAGAAATTCTAATTTACAAAGATAAACCATAATTCTCATTTATCATTTATATACCCAAACCAACAAATCACCTATTTTAATTGTAAAATTAAAGGTTAAACCTTAATCCTCTTATGTAAACAAAAACCGACATATATTTTTGTTAATTATAAATTTTAAATCCCTATCTTATTAATACACCAAATTGACATAACTGAAATTAGGTTATTTGTTTAATTTTATTAATAATTTTTAATATATAATTCTTTATAATAATCTTTTAATATATTTCCTTTTTCGATAGGATTAACAACTAAATATTAATAATATTAGAATCGACACGTGTCAACATCTTATCGTTTATAATTGACACATGTCACGATCTTGTTAATGGCTGACTTTGTAAACAAATGTTTATATAATAAGATGTCCTTAAAATTCTTCTCTATAATTAATTATTTAAAGTCATTTTGTACAAAAGGAAAAAAAAAACGATTTTATTATTTCTTTACTAACAAATATCCCTATCCTTACAATTTGTAAAATTATTAAAAAGTCAATAAAAATAGATAACGAAATTATAGAATCACAATCTCTTATTCTATAGTTTGATCTTTGTATCTATGAAAGTTTGATCTTATTATATAGTTTGATCTTTGTATCTATTATATAGTTTAATAAGATAAATGCTTTAAATTATTTTTGTAACTTAACGACGATGGTGACGATGTAGTTAGCGTTGGAACAAGTGAAGATGCTAGTTGGGTGGTTGTAAGCGTAAGAGTAAGCTGTAGGGCAAGCGGTTTTGAAGATTTTGGAGTAAGCCGTTGGTTTGCAAGATATTGGGTTACCGAACAAGCCGGTGCAACAGTACTTTGGTAATTTAAAGACAGAGCAAGCGCTTTTACATGTTTCCCTTTTTTTTTTTTTTTGATAAACTCTGTCGGCTGATCTGGTCATCTCGGTAGAAACGCACCGAAATGTTTCAGAGTGAACTACTTCCCGAAAACCACCACACTGTCTATCCCGAGTTTAGAATGCTTTTAAGAGGTAGTCAAGCCGCCTGCATTTTTGACTACCAGGTAAATCAACTAGACTTTGGCCCAATTGACAGACTTCCCACACAACAATGATTTTTGTTTCCCGTTACATGACATAACTTGCAACCCAACCGGACACATCTGGTTTAGGTCGCTTACACAACCAGCGTAGCTGCAATTACCTAAACCATTCATGTTATAGAAAGAAATATTCATTAAGATAAAACAATCCAAATTTGGCCTAGAATCACGTCGTATTGAGCATTAGGGTACATTCTCTATATATGTATACAAATCAAAAATAAATAAAGAGAAAATCGTGTAAGTTAAACAATAGAAACTGTGAACGGTTGTTCCTGCATGACGACGAAGTTCCACCAAGCTGACTCTCCTCTCCGTAGTGAGGGACAACACGGTGCAATCAAGGCCGTTACGAACCATAGAAAACCAAGTAGACCAATGCATAGAGCCAAGAGAGAAATAGAATAGAGAAGGCAGAGGAAGACACAGAACCCTAACGTGTGAGTTAAGCGTCCCATGTAGTAAGTTTCATATAATAATGACTCATCCTCGAATCCGAATGTTGAAACCCACATTATGCAGCTACATAGGAAGTACATTGCGTAAACAGTACTGACAACGGCCAAAACTCCACCAGAATCAAGGAGTTCATCTAAGGGAATCTTGTGGCTACGCATATGCAAGATCGCTGCAACGATGAGGACTATAATGATAAGGTTCATCGCAACCTCGTAACGTAGGTTCCCGTCGATTCTGTATTAACCAACCAGACGATTTCATCAGCTTGTACTTATATAATCAAATCTTTATGTGTTACATAATATATACTATACAAAATTAAAAAATAATAATCTTCGACGTGGAGTCTCACCTCCATTCACGTCTGATGAGAGGTTCATGTACGATTGTAGTAGTTTGCATGGCTTCTTGGACTGACATTGTTAATTAATGATGTTTAAGAAAACCATGTAAATAAAATTATATAGTTTCTCTGAATAACCAAGTCCTATTACAAATGTGATTTGAGTTTTTTTTTTTTAAATTAAACAAATATATGCGGTTGTTAATAATAATCGAGTCCTTTTCCAAGTATAAGTAGAAATAATCAGATAAAAAAAAATTGCATTTTGCTTTAGCTACAAAATATTTCTATCGTACTTTTCGATGCAATTGATTATTCCTTCTGTTTGACAAAAATTGTCATTTTTAGAGTTTTATTTTTGTTCTATAAATGACAATACATTTTCAATGTAACTTTTACCCTAAATTTCCAAATTATACCTTTAACCCATCTATATTAACATTTTTGAAGTACCTTTTGTGTTTTACCCTTTTATTTTGTAATATTTGCATAACTAAACCCCTACCATTTGATTAAATAGAAACAGTTTAAGATAAATTTTGTATTAAATCATAATAAATTTGCAAAATTAGAAATCAATATTTATTACATTTAAAAAAATTTCCTAAAATATCTCCCTCATAAATCAAAAATTTCTCCAACATCTTTATATGATCTTAAATTTATATTATTACATAAACATATGTATAATAAAAATATAATATATTTTTTTGCATATGTCGCAATTTGAATTTTTAGAAACGGATGTATATTACTCAAACGATACAAAAATGTATGTACTAAAATATTATTGATAACTGTGTAGCACGGGTCATGTGATGGAACGGGTTATAATTTACATAATTGTGATTATAGATATTTTTACGGGTTTTCTACTATAGTATAACTCACAAAAATATTTTAATATGAAATTATATTATGTAAACGAATATTATGTCAGTATCATTTCATTATTTTAAATATTATACTTATTTAAATAAAAAATAAATTATCATATAATATTCTACGAGTTAAATCATAAAATTAACAATCAAAATATAGTAGTACACTCTTATATACCAAACAAAAAATAATAAAAGAATGCATTTTAGAATGTCGTCCCGCGGGTTAAAATCTAGTAGTTAAGTAAACCATTAACCACTTATTAAATAAGGGTATATATGCATAATTTAATAGTGAAATTTAACCAGTTTGACACAAATTTCGTCAAAAATAACTGAATTAACCTTTTAATATTGATCATTACTAGAATGAAACAAAATTAATGTAAAAAGGTGCAGTGACCACGGCCGTATTTGTTGAAGGTGCAACCTTGGCGACCCCCAAAAAGGACCATAGTGGTGGGAGTTGAACGGTATGTGATTTGTTGGTCGGAAGCTCAAATCCACCCCCGGCTAGTAATTTTTCGCCGGCGCTAGGTTTGGATCCTGGCAATACTGTGTCTTTACATTTGTTGTAAAATATTACCGTTGAAGCTGATCACCAAAAAGAACAACAAAGCTAGCTAGTGTGAATATTACAACAATTGTGCAACTAATATAGTAAAACTACACTTTTGAACAAAGACAGATGTTGTCGGAATGTAAGTTAAGAAAGCAAACATGATGAGTGAGAGAGAAGAAGAAGAAGAAAAAAAGCAAGTATATGAAGTTGTATGTAATGTAGCCATTGATGGGAGAGTACATTAGACTAAATCAACTTCTCAGTGCTTTTATGGGAATTTTAAGAAACAAGTCGAATACAGTATTTAATTTTGGGCAATATTTACTATGCCAATTTCTCAAGACTGTTTGGCATAGTTAGTGCGTGATTTAGCTTTTTTTTTTTTTATTTTGTAGACAAAATAATGTAACTTAACCTTTCATCATCAGTGTTGATCAACTCTTCATATTCAACAACTGAAAATGATAAATCATTCTTTTCTATGATTTAAATATTAACTAGCTATTAGTATTAGACTGTTAGATTGTCCCACATGAGATAAAATTTTGGAATCCACTTGGGATTCTAATTATCACCTATCCACTAATTTTGTGATTCGCTATTATTTAGGAATAACTTATTATATATAACTAATAATCACCTATCCACTAATTTTGTATATATAATACTTAATGATAAAAATAAAATATTGCCGAGACTAAATTTTTCTCTCTAGATCCGCTACGTACTGAGTTCAATCATACAATATCAAAATATATAACTTATGAAAAGATCAGTATCTTGTGAATGTTTATTATATATAGATTGAATATTTTAATAGCTCAAAACAGGTATGGAATATATACCCAATAGTTGCATATAATGGAATCGCTATAATATAGGTGCCGAGAACATAGCGTTCATATGAAAACACGTACGATGGCGTCTACCGTGTATTAAGAAAGTTGATTTTTCTTGTAGTGCGAAAATACTTCAACATCTTGCAGCCAATTATATATACTCAAACTATGAAGACATGGCATTGACCCTTCTTCTACTATCCACTCTTCCAACGATCCTCTTGTTCATCTAGGTTTAACACACGTAACTGAGGAAACCAGGCCTTCGAGTACACCATTCTCCTCCCGGAAAAAGCATTACACAATAAATTAACCCATTTCAAGTGAAGCAACATCTCTAGAATCGACATTGGATTCTCTTTCTTTGATTCGCTTTGAAGCTCACTCTACTAAGAATTTTGAGCTGGAGAAGATGTTAAAGGAGCGGGATGCTTTCTTGGCTAACATTAAATCTCATCTATTACATGCACAACAGCTTATGAAGAATAATGTAGATAAGTATCGCAGTGATGTGGAGTTTGCTGTTGATTCTTGGGTGTTATTGAAACTGTTGGTTAAGTGGACTGGTTTGCCTGATCATGATTTAGAGAGAAGAAAAAAATTACTCCAAAAAGAAAAGAAAAAAAAAAAGATTCACTAAACTAAAATAATCCAAATTTTGCGTAGGATATATCACGTCGTATAGAACTTTAGGTTTATATTCCTTAACGGGCAATATATGTATACAAATCAAAATATATAAATGAAGAGAAAATCGCGTAAGTTAAACAATAGAAACTGTGGAGTGTGGTTGCTGCATGACGACGAAGTTCCACCAAGCTGGCTCTCCTCTATATAGTTGGGGAAAACACGGTGCAATCATGGCCGGTACGAACCAAAGAAGACCAAGTAGAGCAATGTATAGGGCCAAGTTAGAGATCAAAGAGACGAGGGAGAGGAAGAGACAGAAGCCTGACGTATGAGTTATTCGTCCCATGAAGTAAGCTTCAAATAATGACATCTCATCCTCGGATCCGAATGCACCACCCCACGCCATGCAGCTATACATGAAGGAATTTGGGTAACAAATACTGAGAAAGATCATAGCCTTAAAACCAATTACGTTTTCATCTAAGGGAATGTGGTGGCTATGTATATGCAAGATCGCTGCAACGATGAGGACTATAATGATAAGGTTCATCGCAACCTCGTAACGTAGGCTCCCGTCTCTCCATGCACGACTGAGGAGAGGTTCTTGTACGATAGTAGAGGCTTCTTGGACTGACATTGTTAATTAATGATGTTCAAGGAAACCATGTAAATAATATATATAGTTCTCTGATTAACCAAGTCCTATTTCAAATGTGATTTGAGTTTTTTTTTTTTTTTCAATTAAAAATATATATGCGGTTGTTAATACTCGAGTCCTTTTCCAAATGTAAGTAGAAATAATCACTTAAAAAAAGATTTGCATTTTGCTTTAGCTACAATATATTTACTATATATATTTTATACTGTACTTAGATGCAATTAATTAATATTGTAGTCGGATGACAATGGTTTTATGAGTGGCTTTTAAGTCTTGGAACATATTTTGTAAATCACATGAAAAAACGAACATGTGAAAATCGACCATCAAATTAGCAAATATATAATTTGGATTCACATGTCCCTTTCAGCTCTTTGGTTGCATTGCTGTTATAAATAAAAGCAAAATAGTTGAGAAGCCTTTATGATCACTAGAATTGATCAAAAGAATAGAATACCTCACTAGAATTGAGAAGAGAACATGCGATTAGTATATAGGATTTATTATAAGCCGTGAGACCTGCAAACATATATAATTCTTTGTTTTTATACTCAAGATAGAGGATGTTTTTGTCATGGAAATATCCCAGTATGAATTATTAATCTAATCAAAAATGTATTGGTATTTTCTTCAATAATAACATTTCAATAGTTTCAAGAAGTTACCTATACTCGTATGCTATAGCCCCTAACATTTCAATAGTTTCAAGAAGTTACCTATACTCGTACCATTACGTTTATATTAAAATTATTACTGACATAGACCACTATTACTTAAGAGAAATTTTCTTAAATACCAATAAAATACATTTTCTCAAAAATACCTCAAAACTAATACTAAATGTTTTAATGTTCAAAATTAATTTCTAAATCCAAAACATTAAATCTTGTCCCTAAAAATATACCACAAATATAAATATTCAATTCAAATATATCTGAAAACATAACAAGATTATTTTGCTAACTAATAAGAGAAATGCTTTAATTTTATTTTGTAATTCAACGACGATGGTGAGAGCAAAAGGTGACGATGTAGTTAGCCTTGGAACAAGTGAAGATACTGGTTGGGTCGTCGTAAGCGTAAGAGTAAGCTGTAGGGCAAGCGGTTTTGAAGATTTTGGAGTAAGCCGTTGGTTTGCAAGATATTGGGTTACCGAACAAGCCGGTGCAACAATACTTTGGTAATTTAAAGACAGAGCAAGCACTTTTACATGCTACCACACGTTTCCCGTTACGTGACATGACTTGCAACCCAACCGGACACATCTGGTTTAAGTCACTTACACAACCAACGTAGCTGCAATTGCCTGAACCCTTCACCGGCTTTATCGATATCGCCATGTTATAACTAAAACATTACAAATAGTTAAAACATTATAACTAAAACATTACAAATAGTTAAAACATTATAACTAAAACATTACAAAGGTGACAAAGTAAGTATAATTTGTAGTAAAGTTTACTGACCCGTCGACGAGGCTAACGTCATAGAAGTCTAGTGGGCCGAGGGTGAACTCGGCCAAAGTGGCCGGAGGTGAACCACCTGATCCATTGCATGAGAGATAACCACCGCAATCGCCCGTGGTGCAGCGACCATGGCCGTATTTGTTGAAGGTGCAACCGTGGCGACCCCAAAAAGCCCCGGACCATAATGGTGGGAGTTGAATGGTATGGGATTTATTGGCCGGAAGCTCAAATCCACCGCCGGCTAGTAATTTTTCGCCGGCGCTAGGTTTGATTCCTGGCCACACTGTGTGTTTACATTTGTTGTAAAATATTACCGTTGAAGCTGATAACCAAAAAGAACAACAAAGCTAGCTAGTGTGAATATTACAATAATTGTGCAACTAATATAGTAAAAATACACTTTTGAACAAAGACAGATATTGTCGGAATGTAAGTTAAGAAAGCAAACCTGATGCAAAGTAGATGAAGTTGTATGTAGCCATTGATGGGAGAGTACGTAAGACAATCAACTTCTCAGTGCTTTTTATAGGAATTTTAAAAAACAAGTTGAATATTTAATATTTGGGGAATGTACTAATGGCAAATGTTAACCATGCCAATTTTTCAAGACTGTTGGACTAGTTAGTGCGTGATTTAGCTTTTTACTTTTGTAGTCAACTAAATGTAACTAACCTTTCATCATATTCATCAGTGTGGATCAACTCTTCATATTCAACAAGTGAAAATGATAAATAATTCTTTTCTACGATTTAAATTATATCAACAAGCTATATTATTGGACTGTTAGAATGTCCCACATGAGATAAAATTTTGGAATCCACTTGGGATTCTAATTATCACCTGTCCACTAATTTTGTATATATAATACTTATGATAAAAATAAAATATTACTCGAGACTAATTTTTTTTCTAGATCCCTCAAATCATAGAATATCAAAATATATAATTTATTTTAGAGAAATTCTTACTAATGACTTTTTTATGATAACTTTTTGCAAAACTATCAAAATAAGTATTCTCCCACTGTCATTTTCATTTTTGTTCTCTCTTAAATTTTAATGACTATTTTACTCATAATTGAAAGAATATTCCTTCCTATGGATGTAATATTCCCAAAAAATTTCCCGCAAAAATTTTCTGCCAAAAATATTTCCGACAAAAAATTTCCGACTATTTTTTCGCCAAAAATTTTACTAAATTTTTTTTTTAGAGGGTTTACAAAGATTTTTAAAAGCGTCTTCTAAATTAGAGGTTGATTAATGTTTATCATATGATGCTTTCATTAAAATAAAGTTCCTCCAAGAGCAAAAAAAAAAAAAAGATTCACTAACTAAAATAATCCAAATTTGGCGTAGGATATATCACGCCGTATTGAGGTTTAGGGTAGATATTATCCGTTAACAGACCAAAATAAGAGAAAATCGAGTAAATTAAACAATAGAAACTGTGGACTGTGGTTGCTTCCTGAAGAAGTTCCACCAAGCTGGCTCTCCTCTCCATAGTTGAGGACAACACGGTGCAAACAAGGCCGATACGAACCATAGAAAACAAAGTAGAGCAATGTATAAGGCCAAGTGAGAAATAGAATAGAGAAGGCAGAGGAAGACACAGAAACCTAACGTGTGAGTCATGCGTCCGATGAAGTAAATTTCACTAAATAATGACTCATCCGTGAATCCGAATGCCGAAACCCACATTACGCAGCTACCTAGGAAGCAAATTGCGTACCAAAGAATGAAAGTGCCCAAAAGTGTACTACCAACGTATTCATCTAAGGGAATGTGGTGGCTACGCATATGCAAGATCGCTGCAACGATGAGGACTATAATGATAAGGTTCATCGCAACCTCGTAACGTAGGCTCCCGTCTCTCCATGCACGACTGAGGAGAGGTTCATGTTGTACGATTGTAGTGGCTTCTTGGACTGACATTGTTAATTAATGATGTTCAAGTAAACCATGTAAATAATATATATATAGTTCTCTGATTAACCAAGTCCTATTCCAAATGTGATTGAGTTATTTTTGTTAATTCTTTTTAATTTAAACAAATATATGAGGTTGTTAATACTCGAGTCCTTTTCCAAATATAAGTAGAAATAATCAGATAAAAAAGAGTACTTAGAGTTACAAAATATTTCTATTGTACTTCGATGGAATTAATTAATATCGTAGTCCCTACACTATATTTATTAGATGATTGCATCCAAGACAAAAATAAACCAAGATATATAGAACCTAGTATTTAATGATTAAAATCTTATATATTTTTGTCAGTAACAAATATAACTTGTAAGATTTTTAACACAATTCATCAAAATTTTCAAAAACTTATTACCTGATATTTTTCATCATTGTCATTCTTCGTCGCACTTGGTAAATTGAATGCGAGGAATGTGTTGGACTTTGTAATAATCTTCTCCTCCTTCAGAAAGTTTCTCTTTCCAACTCCTCTTCATTGATTTGATACTCAGTTCCTTCAAGGAAGTGATATATTTGAGTCCACCAGGAATCTCCTTTAACATTTTGCAGCCAATTAAACTCAAACTATGAAGGCATGGCATTGACCCTTCTTCTACTATCCACTCTTCCAACTCCTCTTGTTCATCTAGCTTTAACGCACGTAACTGAGGAAACCCGCCTTTCGAGCACACCATTCTCTTCCCGGAGAAAGCATTACATGATAATTCAACCCACTTCAAGTGAAGCAACTTCTCAAGAATCGGCATTGGATCCTCCTCCATGTAGCAAAACTGCAAAATTATGTGTGCAAAGTGCGGTGGGAATCGATGTTGATCAGGCAACCTTGCCATACGCATTCCCAAAGCTAATACTTTGAGATAAACAAAATCTTGAATGAAATCTTTTCCATCAGCCACACGGGTGCTGTTCTTGATATCATATAAACAAAGATGTTGGAGATCTTTTAACTGACTGAGAGTTGAAGTTAGAGTTTCAAATTTACACCCACCATGGTAAGAGACAGCTAGATTCCTGAGCCTTTTCATACATAGTAGGTCTGTCACGCAAGTGTGATCTGGTGAGAAACACCACAAGGTCTCCAAGTTCACTAGATCATACAATTCAACCATTGTGCTATCAGGCATTGTATAAGGTAGGAAAAGGTACCTTAGTTCTTTCATCCCTTTCAAAACATTAGGCACATGAACTGATTTCCTAACATCAACAAATAAGTTCAAATAAAGCAGAAGTTTTAGATTCCCTAAAGAAGTAGGAAGATGAGAGATCTCAGCTTTGTTTAAGCTCAAGAATCTCAAGTGAGCGAGTTCTCCAATGCTAGAAGGTAACTTTCCTCCTTCAAACTTTACTCGAGAAAGATCTAACACCCTGAGCAATGGTAAACTCCCGAAACACATCGCTGATGATCGTATACAAATCTCTTCTTGGATACCAAAAAACAAAAGAGATCTGACTTTTGGGTTGTATTTATGTCCCAGCATCTGAAATGCATCACCACTATGTAAAGCAAGTCTGCGAGATCTATTGGGAGATTGAGCATTGAAGGTAGAGGTGGAAGTAGAGGTTTTGATGATTTGAAGGAAGTTTTCTTCTTCAGCCTTGGATAAACATACTTCTCTCATGATGTCATGCATATGACAATAGTCAAATCTCGAAGTCGCATAGTTTCTCTCAGCAATAACCATATTTCTTCTAACCAACTCTTCTAGGTAGCCTTCTGCACTATCTCTAATGGTTGTTCCATCATAATACAACGTTAGTATTCCTTCTGCAGCCCAGTAATTAAACAATGTCTCAACATTTATCCTGTAGTTTTCGGGGAAACTAGCTAGGCTAAGGAAGCAATGCTTTAAACACATTGGCAAATCTTCATAGCTCAAACTCAAAACTCGGTAAACAGAACTGAGATTGTTGTCGTCTAAGCTGCTAGATCCTCCAACGATATAAGATCCAATATCGTCATATACACTTTTCCACCCGGGAATTGTATGTTTTGTTGCTAATAACCCTCCCAACACCTTAACAGCTAATGGTAGTCCTCCACAATATGTAACCATTTTCTTACCCATGGCTTCCATTTCTTCATCAATTCTAAATTCTGCAGCATTACAAGAGAGTATCTTTCAAGATTTGAGTCTTAAAATAGACAGTATTGATTCTGATCAATATATAAAAGATCACAAGATTGTTGGTACCTGTTTTGTCTCTCTTAGAAAATGCTATCCTTCGACATAGTGTCCAGCTTTGTTCATGAGTAAGACTTCTTAGTCTAAAGAAAAAACATGTTGGATCGGCATGTAAACCAACACCCTCATTGCGAGAAGTAAGCAATATCTTGGAGCCTGCAAAACATTCATACTTTCATATCATTCTTTTAACAATCATTTGTGAGATTTTAAAGGAAGTACTCTATGTATAATATCTAACCTCCGTGTTGCGGAAACACTGCTTTGATTCGGTCCCAATCTTCTACTTTCCATACATCATCAAGAACAATCAAATTTTTACCAGTTTCCAACAACTTAAAAAGTTTACCTTGGAGTGTATGTTCATCTATCTGGAAAATGTCTGCATCAGGTTGACTTAAATCATGCAAGATCCTTTGCCAAACATGTTTCTGTGTAAAATCTTTCGAAACACAAACCCATGTAAAGCCTTCAAAATGATGACGTACCATATCATGATGAAAAACTTGTCTAGTGAGAGTTGTTTTACCAATACCACCCATTCCAGAAATAGAAACCATTTGAATGTTGTTACTAACCACCAAACACCCAACCAACTCTTCAACACTTTGTTCCACTCCGACAAGATCGCTTTCTGAGTTATTAGGAAACGTTTGTCTGATCTCTCTTTGTCTATCTTGCGTAGACAGAACACGACCACCATCAATGATCTTTAGTATTCCCACACTCTGCATCTCTCCAATCACATCAGATATCCTCAGAGTAACCCCTTTGATACCCGAATCAAATTTATGGCGATCCACTAAGAAGCAAGCAAGTCTTCTCAAAGATTTCTTGATCCCTTTTTCTTTCTCTCTTTCCTCACTCAGGAGAAAAGATTCGATTATATCCTCAGCATCATAAACAATGTCTTTGACATCTTCTAAGAAGTTTCTTACTCTTTTACTTTCATGTTTCTTGGCATCTGCATCGTTTAACAAGGACTGTAACCTTCCTAGCTGACGTTGTAGTTCAAGAACTTGCTCATGAACTCCCTTCAATCTTTCATTTTCTCGACTCAAGAGCTCCCAAAGCTTCTGAACTCCAAACAAAACTACTCCCTCAGCCATGACTACTACCCTCCTGCTCCAACAATCACAATTTTCAAAGTCAAAAGATAGATTTGTTCGTTCAAGTGAGACCTCTTTGAAGTAAGTATAACATAACTTAAAAGATGTGTTAAGAGTTACTTATTAAAGAAACCCACAAGTTTTGTAAAACGATTTGGAAACAAGGTTTGATAACATAAATTTCAATCAAGATTTCAGACATAGGTCTCTCTAACAAGAGTTGACATTAAAAAAAAAAAAAAAGCAGATTCAGTCTTGTCGTTTAAACAAAGTACAAAAGACAGATCGAAGCAAAAACACAAAGACACCTCTCTTCTGACTAGCTTGTGCTCCTCACAAAGTTCTTTGGAAGAGCCCAAGAAGATCTGTTAGTTTCTTCTCTTCAAATTTTTTGTCTTTCACCTACTGTTTCATACTCTTCGATTTAGTAAATAGTGACGATGACTTTAATAAAATGGAAACAAAATAAAATTAAGAAAGGGAGACTTTTTGTCTTTTTGAGGATTAAACAAGATTTGTTTGTCGTCCAATAACACTATCAAGTATCAACAAAGGTTTTATTATTCAACACCCTTGACATAGTCTCATCTCTCTTTCATATTAGTTTCAACACCCTTGACATCGTCTCATATTTCTTTTAAGTTTTACATACTAATAGTTTTATTTAATAAATTTTAACACTTTACACCATTACCATTCCACCATAAAAATAGGCTTTTTCTATGTCCAAATTAAATGAAGGGGGAATTTCAAAAATACCCCTTCTCATATACCTCTTTTTAAAAATACCCCCTTTTCAAACTTTATCAAAAAACCCACTAAAAATGTTAAAATTTATCCAAATATGTGTTAAGCTTATAAATATATACACAAATTACCTTTATATGTGTCTAAAACTTTATACACCTTTCATAAATAGCGTAAAAATAAATTATAAAAACCTTATAAAAACCTTATAAAAACCGTATAAACCCTTTTAAAAACCTTTTAAAAACCTTATAAAACTTATAAAACGATTTAAAACTATTTAAAACATTTTAAAATATTTGTATCGAATCTCCCAGTAGTAGTTATTATATAGAAGTACCTTATAAACTATATAAAACTTTATAATTTTTATATTTAAAAAGGGGTATTTTTGAAAATGGATAGATAAAAGGGGTATTTTTAAAAAGGGGTACACCAAAAGGGGTATTTCTCAAAAATTCTCTTAAATGAAACAAGTTTATATCTATAAAATATAAAAAGCAATGATTTTTGATAAAAAAAACTAAAATTAAACTAAAATAATTGACTTTATATCATTAGGAGAAAATTATAATATCAAAAAATTATGCTATCAATAACTGCATAACATGTGGCGTCTATGGTGCAATTTGTTCCTTTTTTTCAACGTGTTAAATCTTTTCAACATAGTTTCATCCACATGAATTCAACTAGCTCTGAGATTAAAAAACCGTATCCGCAAATATCCGTATCCGTATTTGAATTTTTTTATCCAAAAAACGGATAAAGATACAAATAGTAAACTTATGGATATTTCAGATATGAATAAAGATACGGATAGTGCGACTTTTAAAAACAAATAACGGATATCCACTTATTATTTTTTCTTTTTGAAAACATGGATATCCAGTATTTAGATATGGATATCCGGTATTTTGGTCTAAAATATTTGGTATTATGGTTTTTTTACATATTTTCGGATATCTACAAGTATCCGCAGATATTTGTTTTTTACGGATATCCGGATAACAGATATCCGGATTTTAAAAAAAAAACCGGATAATTGCTCAGTTAACAGGGCTAGATTCAACACGCTATTCAACATCCCCATTGTATGAATTCAACTGTTGAATATTTTTTTAGCACATACAAAGTAGTCTAATATCTTGCTGTCGTGTAAACCATTTACAGTGTCTATGAACAAAAGTGACCATGAACCATTGGTTGGTTGATAGAATTGTGCTGCCGTCAGTGTTTTTATGCTGCCAAAGAAAGTGTCTTTGATACTGTTGCCTGTTGGTCTCCTTCACAGCGTCATGGCCGAGAATGATTTCATAATCGGTGCGTGGTTGAGTTAAATTGAGGTGGTGTGGTTTAGTTTGTTTTCCGGAAAGCGTGAGCATAAAAACCAAAATAGGAAACTAATCCAAAAAATTTGGTTTTAAAACAGAATCAAATAGCCATAAACAAACAATGTTCCATCGGATTCGCTCAGATGAGCTAGTCTAAATGTTGACAAAAAAAAAAGTCATAAAACCCAAACAAATTCTAAATGTTATTACGAACCGAAGTATCCGAACCAAACAAAAACCCGAACAATATATCTAAATCCGGAATTAATTTTTAAATACAAATATTAGTTATATATTTTGTTATAATTGAATAACCAAAAATTATAAAATATATGTAATGGCCAAATCCCAAATTATATATGTCAAATTATAAAAAAAAAATTCAAAATTAACCAAAATTCCTAAGCAAAAAAACCAAAATAGGAAACCAATTCAAAAAATATGGTTCTAAAACTGAATCAAATAGTCATAAAACCCAAAACCAATTGTAAATATTTTGAATCGAACCAAAACTCGCGAAAATATATATGAAACCCGAAATAAATTTTTACATACATATATTAATTATATGTAGTTATAATTAAATTACCAAAAATTACAAAATATTTGTAATGATCATACATAAAATTATATATGTTAAATTATACAACTTATAAAAAACCGAAGTTTAACCAAATTTAATCCAAATTGAACCAAATATAATCAAAACTGAGCAACTTTTGTTTTGTTTTGTTTTTGTTTTGCTTTCGAAAACCAACTTAAACCGGACTGGGACGACTACTAATCAGCCAAAGTAGCCATTGATTGGTTCGACTTGTACTAAACCAATCCAAAACCAATCGAAGTAGCCACAAAACTCGAATACACAAACCGTATGAATTCATCCATCACCACAACGAAATAAACCGCTAATTTTAGTTATGGTACAAGATTAAACCGGAGTTAACCGTTTTTACCTGAAAGGAAAGAAAAATAATCTAATCTTCTTCCTCAATCCAATGATTTTCCCAAAATCATCTTCCTTCTTCTCCACTTCTTTCTTCTCCATCGCTAAATTCATCAAATCCCCCAAATTCATAAACCCTAATTCTTCATTTTTCTTCCATTTTTAACCTCTAACCATGAGCACGATTCATCTAATCCGCAAATTCTCCACGAAACCTCCTTCACGGTTTTACAGAAACCTCTTCTTCTCCACTTTCACCAAGGAATCAACACCAGATTTATCACGAACCACCAGAACCATCTCCACACAAAGATTCATCTCTTCTTCAATCTGGCGTTTCCCGCAATCAAATCTTTCACCAAATCGAGGATTCTCAACATCTGTTGAAACGAATCCCACTGACAAATCCTTCGGGAGGATCCACGTTGATGTTCAGAGTGGTGTAATCGTAGAAAGGATACACAAAATCGAAAGCGAAGAAGAAACAGTTTCTGGAGTAAATGTTGAAACTAGTGGTGATGGTAAAGTTGTGAGAGAAGAGAGCGAGGCTGAGAAAGAAGCGTGGAGGATTTTGGAAGACGCTGTTGTTAGATACTGTGGTTCTCCGGTTGGGACTGTTGCGGCGAATGATCCTGGTGATAAGATGCCTTTGAATTATGATCAAGTGTTTATTAGAGATTTTGTGCCTTCTGCTTTGGCTTTTTTGCTTAAAGGTGAAGGTGATATTGTTCGGAACTTTCTCCTTCATACATTACAGCTTCAGGTATGTATGATGAATCTCTCATTAATTTGTTGTGGTTTTTAGAATTTAGTGTTTGATATTGGAAGTTTAGTAGATTGTGATAAGTTGATTTATGTGTTGATGATTGATGTTGTGTGGTTTTGGTGTATTGATGGAGATTTGTTTGTTTTTGAAGAGTTGGGAGAAAACTGTAGACTGTTACAGTCCTGGCCAAGGGTTGATGCCTGCAAGTTTTAAAGTCAGAACCGTGGCGCTTGATGAGAATACTACAGAAGAGGTTTTGGATCCGGATTTTGGTGAATCAGCTATTGGCCGTGTTGCTCCTGTGGATTCTGGTCAGTGAATGTTAATGTATACATGCGATTTGAGTTTTTTTTTTTTGAGTGTCTGTGGGAGAGCTATGTGGGTTGTATTCTCTCTATGGGAAGTTATGTTTTGCTGATGGTTTGTTTCATCTTTTTAGGTTTGTGGTGGATTATTCTCTTACGGGCATATGGAAAGATAACAGGAGATTTCTCATTACAAGAGAGGATAGATGTTCAGACAGGGATAAAGCTTATTATGAACTTGTGTTTAGCAGATGGGTTTGATATGTTTCCTACACTTCTGGTCACTGACGGTTCTTGTATGATTGATCGTCGAATGGGTATACATGGCCATCCTCTTGAAATCCAAGTATGTTCAATACCGAGACTTTGTTTGATTGTGTTTTCAGTGTTGATATGCATATATATATTTTTGTGAGACTTATACATACTTTTCTCTCTGGATATGTTGCAGTCGTTATTCTACTCGGCACTCAGATGCTCCCGTGAGATGCTTTCTGTTAATGACAGTTCGAAGAATCTTGTAAGAGCCATTAACAACAGATTAAGTGCTTTGTCCTTTCATATCAGAGAATACTACTGGGTGGACATTAAAAAGATCAATGAGATATACCGTTACAAAACAGAAGAGTATTCCACGGATGCTACTAACAAGTTCAATATCTATCCTGAGCAAATTCCTCCATGGCTTATGGACTGGATTCCAGAGCAAGGTGGGTATCTCCTCGGGAACCTACAACCTGCACACATGGATTTCAGATTCTTCTCGCTCGGAAACTTTTGGTCTATTGTTTCCTCCTTGGGTACACCAAAGCAGAATGAAGCTATATTGAACTTAATTGAAGCTAAATGGGAAGACATTATAGGGAATATGCCTCTTAAGATTTGTTACCCTGCATTAGAGTACGATGATTGGCGTATAATAACTGGAAGCGACCCAAAGAACACGTGAGTTTCTCTTACTCTTTACCTTGGCTTGTGACGAACTGACAATAGATGTATTTGCCTTGAACTTTTTCGGTGAATTAATCCTGAAAACTATTGTTAAACTTTTCAGGCCTTGGTCGTATCACAACAGTGGATCCTGGCCAACACTTCTTTGGCAGGTATACAGAGATATGTCTGGAGTTTAGATTTGATAACAAGTATTAACAGTACTCGAATATGCATATTATTAAGCAACTTGCTTGATGCCATGAGACTACAAAATCAACTGGTTACAGTTTCAGAGTTTTTCATTGGTAGCATCTGCTTATATCTGGTTTATAATAAACTTTTGTGTGTTTGATTAACAGTTCACATTAGCATGTATGAAGATGGGAAGACCAGAGCTAGCTGAGAAAGCTATTGCATTGGCTGAGAAGAGACTGATGGCAGATCGTTGGCCAGAGTATTACGACACCCGATCTGGAAAATTCATCGGAAAGCAGTCTCGGCTCTACCAAACATGGACAGTAGCCGGATTCTTGACTTCTAAACTCCTCCTAGCAAATCCAGAGATGGCATCACTGTTGTTCTGGGAAGAAGATTACGAACTTCTTGATATCTGTGCCTGTGGTCTCAGAAAATCCGACCGGAAAAAATGCTCCCGAGTTGCTGCCAAGACTCAGATTCTTGTCCGATGAGTGCAAAGCAACAGTCTCTCTTGCTTCTCCGAGCAATCGAACGCAATAAGCTCTTTAGGCTATAGATCTTACAGGAAATTGAATATTCACAGAAACTTGACTGTCACATATATTATTTATTGATCTGTTTGTGTATACATACATATGATTGCAACAGTTTTATATCGTTGCATCTGCATTACCCTGTAATCAGCTTTTTATGCTTCACCTTTCTACACACCTAAGTCTGGACAATTTATCCAAACCAATTGAAATCTTTTGGTTCGGTTGTGATATACTAGTAATCCAGTTGGTTCAGTTTACAATTTTTGTATTCGGTTTTGTTTGGTTTTGGTTTATATCTCGAATTACAAGTCTTACTGCTTTGACATTTGACACTTTTGATATTAGTTTGAACCAAAACTTGGCAAAACTAACCAAATTCTAATCGAAATTAAATAAAATTTTAGAAATTGAACCGCGATTTCGTTGAAAGAACCATAATGATAGAAAACCAGAAACTCCAATTATCCAATTACCCTTAAACCGAATCATAAATTTTTTTACAATGCTAAACCGAACTTTCACCTACCTAAACCGGTCCAAATTTTCCGGTATAAAATCCAAAACCCGACCCGGATACCTGAACACTCCCGACTACACTTTGCTCAGTCGGATTCCGATTACGACTAACAAGCTTTGTCGTTGAGTTCAGACAATGGTGAGATTACCACAGAACAAAAAATTCTCAGAAAACACTGTAAACATACATTGTTGGTGTCTGTAGGCAAGACAATGAGCAGCATCACGAAACTTGCACGCTCCAATGCGTTTAAACCAATCCCAAACTTTGTCAGAAGCTCTCTACGCAACGCCTGCGTCGAATCAAGTCAAAACACAGAGTCACCTCCTTATAGACCCAAGAAGCATCACATTTTAGCAACCAATCTAATCGTTTCATATTTCGAAAAAGGCTTAGTCGAAGAAGCACGCTCACTGTTCGACGAAATGCCTGAGAGAGACGTAGTAGCTTGGACCGCGATGATCACTGGTTACGCTTCTTCTAACTACAATTCTTGTGCTTGGGAGTGTTTTCAAGAGATGTTTAGGCAAGGAACGAGTCCAAATGAGTTCACGCTCTCGAGCGTTCTGAAGTCTTGTAGAAACACGAAGGTTTTGGCTTATGGTGCTTCTGTTCATGGGGTTGTAGTTAAACTTGGTATGGAAGGTTCTTTGTATGTTGACAATGCTTTAATGAATATGTATGCGACTTGTTCGGTAACAATGGACGCGGCGTGTTTGATTTTCCGGAATATTAAGGTGAAAAATGATGTTACTTGGACTACTTTAATCACCGGGTTTACGCATTTGGGTGATGGCATTGGTGGTTTAAAGATGTATAAGCAAATGTTGCTGGTAATGTTTGCTACATTTTCTCGTGTTTTCGATGGAGTTGTTTATGTTTTTGGGTTGAGATATTAACGTTTTGGATATGTTTTGTGTGTTCAGGAGAATGCTGAAGTGACGCCTTACTGTATAACAATAGCGGTTAGAGCTTCCGCTTCGATTGATTCTGTTACAACGGGAAAGCAAATTCATGCATCAGTGATTAAGCGCGGGTTTCAGTCTAACCTTCCGGTGATGAACTCTATATTGGACTTGTATTGCAGGTGTGGGTATTTATCAGAAGCAAAACGTTATTTCAATGAGATGGAAGATAGAGATCTGATCACATGGAACACTTTGGTATCCGAGCTCGAGAGATCAGACAGCAGTGAAGCTCTGCTCATGTTTCAGCGGTTTGAATCGCAAGGCTTTGTGCCAAATTGTTACACTTTCACAAGCTTAGTTGCTGCATGTGCAAATATAGCTGCATTGAACTGTGGCCAGCAACTTCACGGAAGGATTTATCGAAGAGGGTTTAACAAGAACGTTGAGTTAGCCAATGCTTTGATCGATATGTATGCTAAATGTGGTGACATACCAGACTCTCAAAGAGTATTTGGAGAAATCGAAGAGAGGAGGAATCTGGTGTCTTGGACTTCAATGATGATTGGGTATGGATCACACGGTTATGGAGCACAAGCTGTTGAGCTTTTTGATAAGATGGTTCATTCGGGTATTAGACCCGACCGGATTGTGTTCATGGCGGTTCTGAGTGCGTGTCGCCATGCCGGTCTAGTGGACAAAGGATTGAAGTACTTTAAAGACATGGAAAGTGAGTATGGTCTTATTCCAGACCGAGATATATATAACTGCGTAGTGGATTTGCTTGGAAGAGCTGGAAAAATAGGCGAGGCTTATGAATTGGTTGAGAAGATGCCGTTTAAGCCAGATGAATCCACGTGGGGAGCGATTCTTGGGGCTTGTAAAGCGCATAAGCACACGGGATTGATAAGTAGATTAGCTGCAAAAAAAGTTATGGAGTTGAAACCGAGAATGGTGGGGACTTATGTGATGCTTTCGTACATCTATGCAGCAGAAGGTAAGTGGGTCGATTTCGCGAGAGTGAGGAAGATGATGAGGGTGATGGGGAACAAAAAAGAAGCCGGTATGAGCTGGATCGAAGTCGAAAATCAAGTATTTAGCTTTGCCGTGAACGATAAAATGTGTCCTGATGCGAGTTCTGTATATTCAGTATTGGGGTTACTGATAGAGGTGACCAGAGAAGCTGGCTATGTTCCTGACTTAGACACCTTAGTTTATGATCAAGAACTCGGAACGTAAACATGAGGGCATTGGTATATTAATGCTCTAGTGCTACTGTTTGTTGTTAAGTTGTCGGTTGGATTGATACTCAACGGCTTTTTTCGCCATTGAATGACGCAAGACACAACTAACAAAGATCAAGAAAGTAAAGATGACTGACATCAAAGGATTTCTTGAAGACCACAGAATCTGACAATATCTGAACAAATCTCTTTTTAGGTATGGCTCTATGCATACATATAGTATTGGAGACTGTCCTACTTTTTAAAGAACAAACATCACCATACCTCGATTTAGATCAGGTAATGGCTAAGTTTAGTGTCAGGACTCAGGACAATCTTAACCTGCCTCAATGGATCAAAGTGTTGTTGGTCTATTTATAGTACAACTCTTCTTTCTTGTGTTGAGACTGTGACTTTGTGATAGCTTCCAAGAAACTTTTAGAAAATTGTTGGCTATGAAGTCACCTCTAAGTTTGCTTTATTAAAGCTAAAGATATTGCTTTCTGTTGAAATGTTAACATCAGAAGCTGTCCACTAGGTTCAGATCTATAGACAATAAGAACCTTAACTTTTTTTTTTCCATAGGCTTTTTTTAATAATGCAGAATCTGCTTATAATAAAGGGTATTAATTTTCATATATTTTGATTTTTATAGATTCCAAATCTGAAATTGTATCATCTTATTGATAAAAAGGAGATTAAGCAGAAAGTAAAACATGATTAGAAAGATAAAATAGAGAGACTAAGCAAATTAAGCCTCAGTGACTGCAACAGCTTCTTTGACATTGTTCTTCTCTATTGCAGGCTTCTCAACCTCAGGAACAACAAAAGCAGACACTGGGAAAGTCCTGGACAGACCGGTCGGTGTCCTGAAATTGATCTTCCCTGAAGTAATCGGCTGTTCCAAGGCAAGCTCATTGAGAGTAACCCAGATAAGAAGCTCCTTGGCCTTAACACCTGTAAGCTTCTTGATCTTCCCAACCTCAACCTGGGCAGTAACCTCAGTGGCGTAAGAGACAAGTTTCCCAATGGCTTCAAACTTGTGAATGATGCTCTTCTTCTGCTTCAACCAGACAATACCTGTCTCTCTGTCGTAACCAACCTCTTCAATGTCTTTCAATGGCAATAACCCATTAGGCATAGAAACTTCCTTGAGAAACTCCCTTGTCTTCTCACGGCATATCTCATCTCCTGTGTATTTTTCTGCCCTAGCTCTCACTTCATCTGTAACCAAACCCATCTCTCTCTGTGTTTTTTTTTTTTTTTTTGGTGTTTGCTTTGTTTTGTGTTAAGATCTCTGTCTCTTTAGGATCTTTGCCTTTTCATATATAGGTGGTGTGGTCTGAATTCACCCTTGAATCTCTAATTAATTACGGAATTTGCCATTCTATGAAAATTTAATGTCATAGGACTATGAAAAGCTCCTACAACGGTTTAGTGTTATAAAGTCAAAGATTTAATAGCATTCTTGGGATGTAAAAAGAAAAAGGTAACACAATTTGAGGAAGGAAAAAATAGTAGTTGATCCATTGCTTTAAGTGTGGATCTTATGGTTATGAAAATCACCAATTACTACATATATCCACATGTTTATATCAAAATATCAAAATCAAGATATCATTCTTCTTGTAAAAAAAAAGAAAGAAAAAGATATCATCCTTTTAAAATTTATTATTATTATTATTATTAACACATTATTATTATTATTATCATTATTTTTCAACTACACGTTTCTTAATTTATAAAAATAATTTCTGAAACAAACAATGTGGTTGGACGAGGTAGACAATCCGTTTTTTTTTGTTAATAGGGACATAATTGACCGGTACATTAGCCTAATTTCTACAAATATGTAGGGAGCAGTACTCGATCTCTGGTGTGATGGTACATGTCCATCAGTATACTTATCATTTGCCACTAGACTAAAGTCATTTTACGTAGACAATCCGTTTAAGTTACAAAAACGAAGATTTTGGATTGATGAAACAACAAAAATGAGGCTCGGAGCAACCCAAATACGTGTAAGAGATTAATTGTTTTTCTTTGCAAAAAAATAGGTTAAATAAATTAATTTGTAGGTGAATAAAATGAATTAATAGAAAGGAAAAAAAAAATGTGATGCATGTATGGATACTGTAAAGGTCTTAAATGGTTACAGTTGGGGAGATTTAATGACTTGGGTGAGGAGACAAACGTTACCAGTAACGTGTGGACGTGTGTAAATCGCATTTTGTGCATTTGTAGGTTGGACGGTCACCTTATTTAATCGCATAGTGAGTTTACTTTACAACTTGCATATGTGATAGAAAAAGAAAATTAAAAACAAACAAAAAGTACATGATTCAAGGTTAGGTTAATTTGTCTAATTATAGACCAAGCTGGAGAAAAAAAAAATGTAGCACTATTTAGAATTATATTGTAGATATCTAAATTTTTGTAAGAACATGTGTAAAAGGAATGGAAAAATAATTACCCTAAAAAGAATTTAATATTGACGAATATATTTTGTTTGATGTCAAATTATTATAGTAATTATCATTGTAATTATTTTGTAATTATTGAGAAATAAAATGTAGCATACTATCTAGAACTATATTGTAGACTAGGTTGCATGGAAACTCTTTTCAAAGTTTCCCATTTCGGTTTTGGAAACAGAAACTCTTGGAAACTCGGAAACTATAATGGAAACACGATTCCTAATTTTTTTTATTGAGAAACACGATAGAAACAAGCGTTTCCATTTTGGAAACCAAACGAAATCTTAAACGTTTAGTTTAGAAACTTAATAAACAAAAATTTTGATTTATAATATATAGAGTGATTACTTTTATACCTTTAAAACCTGATTAATTTAATTTAAATACACATATAAAATAATATATGATATATTAGTATATAAATTTTGGATTTCAGTGTTTTAATATTTATCTTTTAGTTAAACTATTTAGTATATATATTTTGATTAACGTGTTATTTCAAATATTTAAAATTAATATAGTTTGGAAGTTTGATGTTAATATTATATATATATAGATATAAGTATGTATATATTTTTAGCGTTTCCAACACGTTTCCATATCTTCATTTCATAAAAAACTCGTTTCTCGTTTCCGAAACGTTTTGTTTCCGCGTATCTGTTTCCGTTTCCATGCAACATAGATCGTAGATATCTAATTTTTTTGTAAGAACATATCTAAAAGTAATGGAAAAATAATTACCCTAAAAATTTTTAGTATTGAGGAATAATTTTTTTGTTGTTGTCAAATTATAAACAAAATACATGTAATTAAAAATATATAAAAATTGACAGTTTAAGTTTATTAGTAAATTATTTGTTGACTGATGACCAAAAGAAATAGTATAAAAACATTAGAGGACATAATTAGTAGATATATGCAATTTATTATTGTTGGAACATATAAAAGTAATGGAATAATAATTATCGTAATAAGTTTTATATATCAGGAATATATTTTTTGCTGTTGTCAAATTTTTTATAAAACATGTATTTTTTATTTTTATAAAGATTTACAGTTTAAATTTAGTAGTAACTTATTTGTTGACTGATAACCAAAAGAAATATATAACAACATTAATGGACATAATTAGTAGAAATATATTATTTTGACTAGAGATCATAAAATAAAAAGTTTCCTGAAATTTAGATCCTACTGCCAAGAACTCTTGAGATATACATAAATTACTGGTTAGGTTCACGAAAATTATGAGAACTATTACATAGATGATTCTATTATGGACAATTAGGTTCACGCTTTTGTTTATTGATAAATTAGTATTCCAACTTACCATGCATTACTATTTAATTTGTAGAATAGTTATTGTAGCATAATATACACAGTGTACTGTACACATTTAAGTTAGGTAGATGATATTAGTTGGAACATTTATTTAAATGATGCGTTTTAAAACTACTGATATTTATTTTCTTCTAATTTAAACGAATATGTTACTATAAAAAATAATAAATGATAAATAAACTTATTTACTGTTATTCGATTTTATAATTATATTGACAAAAGATTATATATAAGCCTACTGCTATTCATTATTTTTAGTATTTGATATGTGTTATATAGTAAACTTGAATAATAGTATCAAATGCTTATAAAGTTTAAAATTATACTGTTGTAATTCATGATTTTTTTAGATACATGTGTTTGTGTTACTACAGATTAAGTGTACAGTTGAAATTTAATAAAATTCTAAAGAAAAAAAATGTGAAGAGTTGTGATGCAACGCATAGATGTTATTATGTTAGCATACATAGCTTTTTTCAATCAAGAAAGAGTTATGTTTTCTCTATTGACGATATGTACAGTATTTTATGTTGAATTTATGAAACAATGACAATTCTAACATAAACTATTAAACTACATGGTGTGTTCAATAAATATTAATAGATATTAAAAAATATTATTAAATTATTAATTATTTTAGTTTAGAAGCGACGCAGAATGGAAGAGAAAATATTCACGGCAAAGAGTGAGAGAAAAAACGATTAGATCTGAGATCGGAGATCCTAGAGGTTTTATGAGGTTGTTGCTCGATAGGGGAGGTTAACTCTAGCAGTGTGAAGTTAAGCCACTGTCGATGGTTTCCTAGATTTTAATCCCTACCGCCTTACAATCTCGCGACAGAGTTTGAAGCTTTCTCGACATCAAGAGCTCGATTTCCTCCTCTTCCTCAAAGCTTCTCTATTGTGGCGGAGATGCAAATAGATCCCTGATCACCTCCTCTGTTCGACCCACGCCGTCCAGGCACACTAGAGATTATGTTCTGATGTGCATCTGCAGTTGTGGACGGCGCGTACGACGTGTTTTGCGTTTGTAGTTTAAGATTGGTAGAGTGAAATTGGGTCGGTTTTGTTATTGTTTGGTTTATTTTGGTTAGATTTTATATATTGGGCCCTAATGAGTTATTGTATGGACCTATTATGGATATATGTAAGCCCATTGGGCATAAGTATTTTAATTGAAGGCCTTTTACAAAGAAAAAAAATAATTCTATTAATTATTTTAAAATTTAAACACAAATCAGACAATTCTTGGTAGGCATGTCCAAAATCTAATCGTAACCGTATTAAGTTGTAACCAAACTATATAAAATGGTTAGAACTTTTAACCTCCAATCTCTCAGACGATTTCCTATGTTACATGCATTTTCTTTTATTTTTTTTATTTAAGATTTATGTTCTTGTAATTCAAAATTAAATCAGATTATCTTACTTAATCTTGCAAAATATCGCCTGATTCAAAAGTTTTTTTTGTAAACGATTTTTCTCCTATTTGGGTTATACAATCATAATATAGTATTTTAATTAATGTGTGTTCGGATTACCAATATTAAAGTAGTATTTTAAATAATATGTGGTTGAAAAAAAAACGGTTAGAACTTGTAATATACAAAATTATACCACCTACCATTAAAAATATATTAACCGTCGTCATTAATTAATCAAAGTTGTTGATTTACCTTGAACCACATGTATTTTATATCATAAAATAGATATTATTCTGATTTATCATCAGAAAAAGTAAAAAAAAAAAAAAACAAACATATAAGATTTTATATATTAAACCGTAACTGTGGTCCTCTATTTTTATGTCAAAAGAGGTGAATAACAAAACATACGATGCCAATCTTTATAAAAAAAAAGTTCAAATCAAACCTCATAGTCCTGTAAAGTAGATCAAGTCAAAGAATAACAAATCGACACAAACTAGAGCATCTTGGATATTGAAGGAGTTCTGTAAACTCACGTTTCTCTCCATAAGAATGATTCAAACGTAGCACAAGCTTCTTCAGTGTTGCTGAGTTCTTCAGAAAGTATCTAACTAGTTCTAGTTCAGTTCCTTGCTCAGTGATCGGGCTTTTGATATTAACATATTCAAGGGACGATAACAAACAACAAGGTAAGAGTCTGGAGAGTTTAGTTTCCTTTTCTACTTGATAGTCCTCATCAAGTAATTCCTATAATCAAAAAAATCCAAACCATATTAAAACATAAAACCACCTTTCTTCTATAAAGTTAAAAGTTGTATAGAGTTCAAGAAAAGTCATCACCAAGACCAAGGTAAGGTATTTTAGACTAGGGCAGCTCTCAAGTAGGAATGGTAACAGTTTTTGAGACTCATATGGGTGCATAGTAACGCTCAAACGAGACAAGTCTTGAAATGTGGGCAATGGGTTAAAGTCTTTCATATGATAGATCAACTGCCAGTAAAACATAACATGTAAGAGAACTATATTATATAATATGAAGTGACTAATAGAAAAGTTTAGAGAGATACATACCATAAGAGTGCTCCTTGAGATGGTCATATCTACAACACTTGAGACATTGGTGAGAAGATCATATAAGCTATTTGACCTATTTCTTTCCCTACACTCATAACTATCATCAATGAAATCAAGTTCCACCTTGGCCAAAGGACTTATATTGGTTACTCTGATGATTTTGTCTAGGCAATCTTTGACGCTGAGATATTTGAGTCTCGGAGCATCGATCTCAGCTGCGTTTCGACCGCCTATATGACCATCATAATAAAAGATATGTGAGAGAGATAGGCTCTTTAGTGATTTAGAACAAAAGCGTAAATCTAAATCCGCTACCATATTAAATGGCCTCCTTATTACTAACTCTTCGAGAACCGGAGAACATGGAACTAGCATCGCTCCCGAGTCATTGGAGGGAAACAAGACATGAGATAAGTTCATAACCTTGAGACAAGGAAACTCAAGTGACACAAATTCATCCAACCTAACCAAACTGAGACTTAAGCATACTAACTCCTTGCACATAGGATTGTTTAACGGTATCTTTATCAAATCTCCGAAGCTACTCAAAACTTCAAAATGCTGAATCTTGCGCTTAAGCACTCTTCCGAGACATGGCTCCAAAAGGAAAAATTCATGTCCACAGATATGTTTATCAATGGTTAACTTGAATTTACTCAAGTATGTTCCGTACTTATGGAAGATATCGATATAATCCGCACATGCATCGTAATTTCGAAAATGAGCCGTGTTCAAGTCTAGTGTAGTAACCTCTAGCCAAAGATTTCTCCATTTAGAGGACAAAACACTTGTCCTAACAGCATCCTTAGGCCTAAGAAAAGTTACTATCTTACATATCAACTCTTGAGGTAATAAGCTTATCCTATCTTCCCCACTTCTGCCAACTTCTCCTTCCATAGCCACGTTTTGGTTCAGAAACCCTAAGCAAACAAATTCAGAGTTTAATTATAGAATTTAAAAAAGTAAACGCGCATAGCAAATGCTAGCAACAAATGCTACGGACTGCAAAGCGTAAGAGAGAGTTGTTCTTCATTACAAAAGCTTATTTACACACACACGAAATGATAAGCTCTAATATATCTAATCGTTATCTCAACGACAAGGATAAATACGATCTGTTTAAAAAATATATAAATGTAATAATTTATCTATAATATTTGACATTTTAAATGGTAACCTACAAAACATTTTTAGATTTTTATTAGGTAAAAAAATACATATGTTCAAGACATATTTATATATGATTTTTAGGTCATTGTTTAAACTTAGCCTCTTCATTTTGGAAAGATATATATATTCATCAGGTACTATCTCTTGAGGACCTACAAAAGCATTCAAAGCTGCTTGGGTGCGGTTTAAGTCATATCAGAGGAACTATATATCCACACTGTGGCTTCGATGATGTTCAGCTCTTGGGTATTTTCTTTTTAGAAGATTGGATTGGAGGTATTAGATGGATTCGGACGCTGCAACCAATATTAAATTTAATACTGATGTACCGATGGGTAGAACACTTTTTAAGGCTTTAAAAATAGTCATTAATTTGCCAATCAAACTTTTATCTTTTTATTTATTTTTAAAGCATTGAAAGTCACTTTTTTGTTTCTTTTTCTTTTTCTTATTTTTTTTTACATCACATATCTGGCTTTAAATCTAAACAATTTAAAAAAACTTATTTTCACACTTTTTACATTTAAAACCTTTCCTCTTGGAATATATAGCCCTAAAAATGATGATTATGAGTGTTAATCGACAGGGTAGCTTCAGCTAGAGATCTGGTATTAAAATTTTCATTGCTTGCAACATCCAAGGCCAATCTAGTGCCTCTAGTCCAATCCTCTGAAGAAGATACATAAGTTTTGAACATCATCAAAACCATGATGTAGACAATCCCTCTGATTTGACTTAGACCGCACACAATTAGTTTTGAATGCTTCTTTAGGTCCCTGAGAGAAAGTAGAGATTCCGCAGCTCTTCTGATCTTGCATCGTTGTAGAATTTATTCGGAAAATCGACTTTAGTGTCCTCCCGAGTCGTAAGAGATCCCACTTTCAACTGTTTAAGCTATGAACATATGAACATTACTTCTTCATCAAGAGATTACTGGAAAGGTTTACAGAACAGATAATAAAAAGACACACGGTTTCTGTTTGGATTTGTTTAATTTTGTGGATTTTCGATTATGAATTATGGTATCTAAACAAAAATTTAAAATGGATGGATGGATGGTTTGATACGATTTAACACCCTAAGAAATAACATAGACCTCCAAGTTCGCGATGTTACTTGCTAACGATCAGAGCCCATAAAATATCGTAACTTCGATCACCAAACTCGTTGGATGCAAAGGAAAAACAATTTGGCACAAACAACAATTCACAGGAGCCCAAAGTCAAGACTTTTGACAAGTATGACCATTACTAGTAAGCTACAATCTGACATCGAATTCGCCAGCGCGTGTCTGAGCACGAAACCCTTTGTAAAGACGAGGAGGGAGAGTTTGAAAATCAAGTTTCTCGATTCTTAGGCCAGATAGAGCAATGCCCATTATCTTAAACCCGAGTTTGAATGTCGGAAACACATAAAGTCGTCCTAACCCTGTTTCCAGTGTTAGTGTCCCTGATAAACATGGAGTCTTGTCCTTTGGGATTCGCCCGATTGTCCATGTACATGTCTGCAAAACAAAGTCCTTACTCAAACGGACATTTTCTTAATCCGGAAGCTGAACTCATAGCAAAAGTCAGACAAACATATTACCTTGTTAGAGAGGATGGTTACAGTTCCATGATTTGATGAGAGGTCTGCGGATGAAACACAATGAGGAAGCTGGAAACTCAAGGTTATTGACTCAATCGCCTTTCCTGGATCGCTTCTGATTCCCACTAGCACGCTAATTCGACATGTGCCTGAATCTGATGTTATTTGAGGTTTTACATATACAGGTGTGTTCTTCAGCTTTTTCACCCTAAATTGCACATCAGAGATGCTTAGACAGTCGAATAACTCTTCAAGATAGTGAAAGAATAATGTTTGGTTGTGAAAGTACACACCTGTAACTCATGAGCTTGAACTCTCCATCTGGAGGGACAAATGAGAGAACTTGATGAGATTCCCACGGTCTAAACCGGACACACGGGTGAAACCTCATGTCTTCTAGAATCGACGGATTCGCAAACGACAATGTCAAATCTGGAAAACCACTGAGCTGGGAATTTATTTGGACCTCGCCATAAATCTCGCATTTTACCAATTCTCCATCCCTGATCAGTCAGTGTATTCAAATGATTTGAGTAAGATGAGTCTTGGAGGTTAAATGAAGATTTTGTGAAATCGTCTTCAAGCACACACCTGTTTACAATTGCATCCATTTCTTCAGCGAGTTCGACATAAACTTCGTTGCTAGAGTACTTCGGATCTGTTGGTCGCCATGGAACACAAGAGCCAGCACCACTTGGGAGCGTGTCACTAACATTGGAAGCATTTCCCGTTACAACACTCAACATTTTGCTGACCAGATTCGGTGGAGCTATCATTTCCCTCAGGATACTCGGTTCTGTTGTGAGAGGGAAACCATTATCGATCATCTCATCCAAAAGCTACAAGTAAAAAAATTGTGCAACTATTCAGTTTAAGACATCCAAGAAAGGGTGAAGCCATAGAAAAATATAAACTATGGCATACACAAAGAAGCTATTAATAACACATTTTTTAAATCTCGCAGTTGCTGCAAATCAACATAACATGTACACAGGATATAAGGAAAATCCAAGACAGTTTATATTTTGCTCTATGATGTATTTTCTAAAGCAAGCTTTGTTTATCAATCACTCATAAGGTGGAAACTGTTAAATTGTCTACTTTATCAAAAACAATCCAAGAACAATAACAATACAAGCAACAACTTTTACGATTAACTCATATTCTCCCGTTCAAATATAAGGAATACTCAACTACAGAGTTGATTAAACACCCGAGAAGACGCAGTATATATATCCAAAATCCGCAAAAATGGGAAATAAAAGTAAGAAGAGAAGCAAGACGGCACACAGAAGTTAAACCGATGAATTGCAGAAACCATAACAGCTACCAAAGTTTCAATTAGCAAAAAGAGCACACTCATAAAAATGCATACTCTTAAACAAAAGTACCTCATAGACGATGATGAAATTATCCTTAATGAGATCTTCGTTTAACCCACCAAGGTAATCAGACAAAACATCAGCAACTCTGCAAAGGAACTAAAACTTCACAAAGTTACAAAAACTTCACATGATCTGCATTCAACCCTTTACACAAAAATTGAAAACTACAAAGAAGAAAGCAAAAGATTCACCTCGATTGCCATCAACGGTGGCATTTCAACTTGACTACAAGCTAAGAACGTAATGCCATCACGAACGATTTGAAACAGGTAATGTGTTGGTGAAGCAATCACTGAAAGTGACTATCCAAAACAAAAACAAGAATCCATAAGACACATACCAAGACAGTCAAATCAAGATTTAAAGATGACCCATGAGCTAAAGTCTCGAACTTTGGATTCAATTTTACAAATCAAACAAAACCCAAGAATCAATGAACTTACAATTATGCAGAAACAATAAAAAAGATAACTTTTTTTGCTATAAACTAACCTTAAAGGTCTCGCCTTGGGAAATAGATTGATCCCAGAACCAAGCACATATGGATCGATCAACGCGATGACCTGTAAGCTGCTTCTCTAGCATTACCTCTCTGTGAACACAAAACCCAAACAACATAAGATGAATCAAGTCCAGAGACTGATCAATCAAATTCGATCTGAATCTGTAAAGGGTTGAAGAAGATTCACTAACCCAGAATCCGAGAGGAGAAATATACATTGAAGCATCTCTGGCAACGATGCACAAATCTGCGATTGCGTTCGTGTTCTTGATTTTGGTTTTACTTGTTCATGTTTGAGATTTAGCTTCGAACTAGAATACTCTAACCAAGTCAGAGGCTTCAAATATGATTGAAATAGTAGATTAATGGGCTCATGTTGGGCTTAAATAACTATATGTAGAATTTGTTAGCTTTTTATTTTAGTCCAAATTTTTACAAAGACGGTATTTTCCCTACACAAGTATAACCAGCTTTTTTATTTCGGAGTTCACAATTGGATTCGTGATATCGGGCATGTTCGTTTGGTCGCCGCAGGCGACTGCGGCAAACGCAACGTTTTTTTGCCGCTAAATCAAATCGGCGTTCACCGCTTCGGCAACCAAACAAACAATAATTTTTGCAGACCTGATAGTTCTGGAGAAGGAAATTTGAAGAAGTGGAGTTTCTTATACCATCTTCAAAGGGAGATGTTTAACAAAAATTATGGAGGTGCTAAAGATTTAGGGTGATTAAAATAAATCAGTAAATGATTTAATGTTTAGGAGCGATGCTAAACTAACAAGTTTAAGGGCCACTCCTTAAAGCCACGTGTCACGTTATTATTGGTTATAATTGTAAATAAGGAAAAAGAAAAAAAAAGGTTTTGCATTCTTGGTCTGGGAAGAGAAACATAGACAATTAAAGCCATTCAATATATTTTGATTTCGTCAGACAAACATCATATCCCTCGTAACAAAAGACAGAGATAACAAAAACGATTAGTGTTCATACACCATATCCCTCGTCACAGATATAATAAAACAACAAGAAAGCTAGAAACAGAAGCTTTGTGATAATGCAAACGAAGAGAGACGATTCCCAAATTCCAATAGCCAACTTGAAGAAAACACTTTATTAAAGTTCATCATTAGAAGAAGAAAAAATCAATTATTTTTTAAGAGTTCAACAAATTCAAATTAATCATTAAATTTAATAAAAATTTGTTTAACACCTCAAAATAAGCATCTCCCTTTGGAGATGCTCTTAGGACAATGAGACACACAACAATAAAGCAGCAGATAGTTTAATTAAAGAACCTTTATATGATAAAATTTCTTTTATGTCTTATTCCTATGTACCTTCGTACCTTGCAAACATCCTATATGAGAACCATCTTTCAAATTTCAAGTCACTAATGAAAAATAGCTGTTAAAAAAAGAAGAGTCTTTATTTTTTCAGATAATCTTGATTTTACGACGAATTAATACTAAAACGGATAATTTGGTACGAAAAATTAGTGAATATTTCCTCGACTTGGGTTTTGAGCATCAAAGTAATATATTTAATGTTGACAGAGAAAATTTGAAACAAATTTGTTATAAAACTTCTAAACATTAAGATTTTCTTTACTATGTTTTAATATTAAATCATATTTTCCATCAATAGCCTTAAAAATCCTCGGCATGACTCTTGGTAATAGTTCCATAATTCTTGATTACGAAATGAAAGAAAAGTAAGCATTAGTTTGTTTGGTTTCTTGAAAAATCAGAACTCCTTAGTTATATTTTAGTTTATAGATTCCGTAGAATATTCTGACATAATGGATCACAGTCAAAAGAAATTGAAATGACACTATTCCATAAAACTAACATTATCCAATTCTTATGAGTTTGTTCTCCTTATAGTAAGCAAGGTCGGCCCACTCATAAATACACAGCTAAAGTTATTAAACTCCCCATTACGACGAATGCATCTATCTACCCAACCTAAAAACAATATAAAATGAATCTACCTCTAAAAGTTTAAGAGATATTGTAATTGTAACCATATTATAAATAAGATGACTTTTTGAGACATCATATATTGAATAATTATTTTTATCATAGGATTTATTAAAAATATATCTTGTAAAAATTCTTTGACATGAGCTAACACAAATGGAAAGTATTACCGACGAATTGGATTGTATTTGAAAAGTAAACTTATAGACTATAACGTAAAAGAGACTGAAATGGTCGGTTGGTCCAATGTCGGACAAACTACCATAAGTAGACTAAACAGTTATAGTGGGTCATACGAACTCCTTCCACATGTTTCGTTTTTGAACTGTTAATCTGATATTTCAGTTTATTAAAAACTTTAATTCCAAAATCTTAGTAAATTCTAAATTTTTTATTTAAAGTTTTACATAAAAACTGCTATAGAAAATATTATTAGTTTTTCAATAGTGTTACAGAAATAGCAAAACATTTGAATTGATTTGTGTGAAAATATAAATTATGATTTTATTTTTAATCAAATAAAATCTAATATTGTTAAGTAAGTGATGTGAAATTTTATATTAAAATCTACCTTTGTTGAAAATATTTTGAATATTAAACTTTTAATGATTTTAAAAGATTTTCATAATGAAAAAAAAAACTAAATCTCATGATTTATATTAAATCATAATAACTTTCCTAAATTCAACACAAAATCATAGAAAAAATCATTAACAATCAAGTTATTTAAAATTTAGAATGAAATACATCATGAATAAAATATTAAGAAATACCTTCAAATAACATTAAACTAAGTATTTTGGACAAATATAGCACATACTCTATAAAAAATTTCAAAAGCACTAATTAGCATAATCAAAATATTTTAAATTTTTTTTTAGAATTTTTTTTTTAATGTCTGGATTGACTATTTACACTAAAATATTTGAATTCATTAAGAAGATATATTCTTATCTTTTCTTTGTAAACTATAAATGAACATAGAATACAATATTATTCGTTGGTAACAATCAAACAATTTGATAACAACCTCGAAAAATATTTATATTCAAAACAACCATTTTGTAGGCTTTGTTTTTATTTGCCTTACCTCCGCAACCTTTACCTCTGCTTTTGCAATATCGGTATTAAATACATAGAACTCTGATACAACATCCGTGCTTTTCGCAAATTTTGTCGTAGCAATTATGTCCTTCTAATATAGGAATAATGGTATCTTGATCCACCCATGTTCCGGTTAACAAGATCATATGACTGTTTTAAATTGACTAATTTCTTTAGAGATAAGATTGTAGATATCATGTAACAAAATTATTATAAAGATAAGTAAAATAGGATTACAATTCAATAGATCGAATTTACAGATACATAAATTAATACCTCGCCAAAGGTGTCGTAAGATGGGACCAAGATTATACGTGCAGTAGTGGGAAATCGCTTGGTGTAAAGTACTAATTATGTTGAAAAGGTTGGTAATAATCATATCAAAATAATTGTAAATATGTATATGTCAAAGAATAAAACCGAACTTATGAGTTGGTTTGAATCAAAATATTTGTGGAATTTGTTATCAGATTGTTTGATTGTTACCAACGAATAGTATTGTATTACATGTTCATTTGTATTCTACAAAGAAAAGATAAAAATATTTTTTTAATAACTTAAAAATATTTTAGTGTAAAATAATCAATTCGTATGCTAAAAAATATTCTAAAAAATTATTTAAAATATTGTTATTATGCTAATTAGTGCTATTTTTAAAAATTTATAGAGTATATGGTACATTTATATAAAATACTTGTTTAGTGCTATTTACCGGTATTTGTAATGCAATTAAAAATTGTTTTTTGATTGTAACCTAAAACATGTAACCGGAAATAGTCGGTCGGTCATCAGTTAGACAAACCACCCACAAGAAATTTAAACCAAAACAGGTCCCGACAAAGACTATTCTCGTACCACGTGGCATCATCACCGCCAAGTACGTTTCACGTTAACACGTGTCACCCCATTATCCAATCAAAAAATCACACAAGGTAATAGTTATTAAATCGCTAAAACGACGTCGTAGTATACCAAGTGGGAACATACTGATAAGTGACCGATCAACCACCACGAGATCTTGTTTTTTATATAAAACGTTTGATGAGTCGAACTGTCTAGATAGTGACACGTGTCGAACGCCGTGGCATCACCTGAATTAATTTCAAACGAAGCTTCGCGCGCATCTCGTAAGCCGTTCGATTAAACAAGATTGTGTAACAGCCATTGGATCAAAATCTTTCTCTGGAACGTTTTAGTAGTCGGTCGTATTTAATTATATTATATACAAAGTTATTAGTGATTAATCGTCTAATTAATTAACCATTAAATCCTATATAAAGCACCATTAAGCTTCCACCTACAAACTCATCACACTACTACACACAAAACTCAAACAAGAACAAAACACAAACACAAGTACTTTTATATCTAAAAGACAAGTTACAAAGATGGCACCTGAGATCAATACCAAACTCACCACCGGACCGGTCATCCCAGCCACCGCTTACGGTGGAGAGAAGAGGGCTTACGTGACGTTTCTTGCCGGAAACGGTGACTACGTGAAAGGAGTGGTGGGTCTTGCTAAGGGTTTAAGGAAAGCTGAGAGCAAGTATCCACTTGTGGTGGCGGTTTTGCCCGACGTACCGGAGGATCACCGGAAGCAACTGGTGGATCAAGGCTGTGTTGTTAAGGAGATAGAGCCGGTTTACCCACCGGAGAATCAAACCGAGTTTGCTATGGCTTACTATGTTATCAACTACTCTAAGCTTCGTATATGGAAGGTATATATTCATACAAATACATATTTTTACTTTTGAAAATTTCATAAAATAAAATTCTATTTTTTAAGTACTATTTAAAAAAAAAATATTTAGTTATATTTAAGTTTATTCTAATTTAATTAAAATAATATTAATTTAATTTTGGTTAATTTAATTAGTTTAATTTTTATTGTCTTTTAATTTGATTTCTTATGTATAACAAATAATTAAATATATATATATATATATATGGTTTCGTGCAGTTTGTGGAGTATAGCAAGATGATATACTTGGATGGAGACATACAAGTGTTTGAAAACATCGATCACTTGTTTGATCTACCTGATGGCCAATTCTATGCGGTCATGGACTGTTTCTGCGAGAAAACATGGAGCCACTCACCACAATACAAGATTGGTTATTGCCAACAGTGTCCAGACAAGGTAACATGGCCAGAGGCTGAGCTTGGTCCTAAGCCGCCTTTGTACTTCAACGCTGGTATGTTCGTTTACGAGCCAAACCTCTCCACTTATCATAATCTCTTGGAGACTCTCCAAGTCGTGCCTCCCACTCTTTTTGCTGAACAGGTAAACATAAGTGATAAACAATAGTTATTATGGATATTACAACCGTAAACATATTACAATAATTTGATTTGTGTATGTTTTTTTTGTTATAGGATTTCTTGAATATGTACTTTAAGGACATATATAAGCCAATACCATCAGCTTATAACTTGGTCTTGGCCATGCTTTGGAGGCATCCAGAGAATATAGAGCTTGACCAAGTCAAAGTTGTTCACTATTGTGCTGCTGGTGCTAAGCCTTGGAGGTATAATTACTATCATACTTTATATATTTACTTTTTTACACTAAAATTAGAATATTCTGAACGTTGTTTTGTTGTATTTGTATCAGATTCACCGGAGAAGAAGAGAACATGGATAGAGAAGACATCAAGATGCTGGTCAAGAAATGGTGGGACATTTACAACGACGAGTCTCTTGATTACAAGAACATTATTGGAGATGGCTATAAGAAACAACAGACATTTCAGCAGTTCGTCGAAGCTTTGTCCGAAGCTGGTGTGCTTCAGTACGTTAAAGCTCCATCTGCTGCTTAGAGACATTATGATTATCAAGCTTGTTGTTACGCTTCTTTGCGACTATAAGAAAATATATTTTCTTAGTTTGATGAAACTTGTTCATAGAACCATCTATATAGTTATATACTATATGAGATTGTGTTACTATCTTTATTTTATTTTTATTTTTTTGGTTTCGGAGGAGTTTTTAAATCTCCAATTCCGTTTTTACTTACGTACGATACTAGCTTGTTGAGGAGGAAGAAACAATGTTTCCTACTATATTGTAAAGTATATTTACTATACATAACCATACGTGTTTAATTACATTTCTATTGTTCATTTGCTCTTTATCCTTCTCTAGTTTTCAAGTCTCAAATCTTATTAAGTATAAAACATTTCTTCATGGAATTCACAATTCTACTTGAGCTCCACAAACATGTTTATATAAAACTTGCTAATTCAGAAGTTAAGAGATGCCCACATTAGAATACATATGTTTGCGAGTCCACATTGATAAGATTCCTAAAAGAAAGCTATAATTCACGGACCATCCATAAATTTTATCTCGACAGCTTCTATCACTTTACGTGTTCTGCCCATGTCTCAAACAGATGAGGAAATTGCAATAATCATATAACAAGTAAAATGTATGTACATAAAAAAAAAAAAGTATATGTACACACATTTCTTTATATAATTTTTTCATCATACAACAATTTGAAAATTTTAAGCGAAATATAGAACCTTGTCAAAATAAAAAAATTAATGTTAATAGTTCAATTGGTAAAGATCTCTGGCAAAAGTTCAGAGGTCGCCGGTTCGAGTCTTACATGCTCTAGTTTCGGGTCTGAAAGAATGTATGGGTTTTGGCCCAGAACTTATTTGATTATTCCGGAAAAAAAAATTGATGTTAAATGAACTTATAAGATAAACCCCATTTTAAAAGAAAATGTTGCACAAAATGCCTGTATAATTTCCATACTAATATTTGTAATCTATGATGAAGTTCCAATGCTAATAACTTTTATCAAAGTAATAAACAACAAAACTTAAATTATTGGTAGACAGAGACTAGCGTCTCAAAAAAAGACACAAAGTATGTATAAGACATAAAATTGCAAGGAAAAATATGGGGTTTGGAACCGTAGAATGCCCATATGGTACGAGAACGAGTGGTAAGGATAACATAATTGCTTACTGTTGCCACTGGAATGATTGTCATATGTTGCAGTTCTGGTGAGACGAGAATATTCTATAGAATACATGATTTCCCATGATCTCTTGTTTATGTCAAGACCAAAGATTTTGAAGAAAAGGTCGTTTTTGTTAGGAGAACTCCTGAAGATGCATAGACAATGATTTAAGAACACACATGCTTAATTCATATAAGTATCTATAAACTCGACATCCGGTGTAATCGAAAAGCTTTGGAACGTCTATGTGAGAAGATCAAACGCTAGCAGCTTGAGGGGAAGGCCCATAACCAGGGGAAGGCCCATAATATCGCACTGGAAGAACACCAACCTCAAATCTGAATTTGTCTTTGATCATATGAGCAGGCGGGCCAGAAGTTCCCACTAAGAAAATTGTCGACTTTTCTATACTTATTTTCATCCCTGAGATTCGTGCAAACTCCGAAAACACGTGAACAATACCGTCAATGAAGCGAAGCTTCCCATCTGTAAGGACCATGAGATCATCTGCAAAACTCAAATGCGTTAACCCGACGTCCTCGCACTGAGGATGATAACCAAACCGCTTTTCACCAGCAGCACGGTCAAGCATTTTGGAAAGAACATCCATACTCATCACAAACAGGTATGGAGAAAGAGAGCAGCCTTGTCTTAATCCCCGAGAGCTCTGAAAATATCCTGCCAACTCGCCATTAACTTGAACCGTAAAAGAAGCCGTCATGATACACAACATGATCCAATGAACATAAGTAGGAGGAAAATCCAAAGCCATATGAGCATATTCCTAATGAAAGACCATTGAACTGAGTCAAAAGCTTTTGAAATATCAAATTTTATTGCACATCGACCTGAGATTGATCTCTTGTGATAGTACTCCTTGACGAGCTCTGTGGCGAGTAGCAAGTTCTCCAACAAAAGTCTATCCTCAACAAAAGCAGATTGATTTGGTGCTACAAATTTAGGGAGAATGAATTTAAGCTTGTTGGCAATGATCTTAGATATCACCTTGTAGATCACATTACAACACGAAATCATGTAATCTTTCATTTCCTTTGCCTCCAAGTTTTTGGGAATAAAAGCAAGAATGGTGGAATTAACTCCCTTGGGAAGAAAACCTTTCTCAAAAAATGATTGAATAGCCAAAACAAACTCAAGTCCCACTATCTCCCAAGTTCGTTTGTAGAATTTCGAAGTGAAACCATCCGGGCCTGGTGACTTGTCACTTGGCATGGCAAAAAGCACTCTCGAAAACCTCCTCTGCTGTGACTGGTGCAATGAGCAGAGCTTTGTCCTCAGCCGAACACCAGAAAGGCAGTAAGTCCTGTAAGCGCTCCACTGTAATAGCCTCAAAGTCATATTCTTAAATGGTTTTATAAATATTTACAAGGGTTCAAAATGCTTTTTAAAGTGATTTAAAAGAGTTTTTAGTTTTTTTTTTGTCAACATCATATATTATTGGACTCAAATGAGCCAAGAATCAGGAACATTGTTTACATGGATACAAAGAAGCGGTTCAGACGCACTCTGCGTGCCAATTTATCCGCTTTAAAATTGGAACATCGAAATACTTTCAAAGGAAAAAGAAGAAATTCCCCTCTATCTGCTTTGATCTCCTCTAGGTATGGAGAAAACGCTGGCCATTAAGTTGGGGAAAACAGCATCTCCACCAAATCTGAGCAGTCTGTGATGAACATCACGTCCTTTCTGGCTGTATTGATCATACACTTCAATGCCCATACCAATGCTTCAACCTCTGTGTGTAGTAGTGAGGCTTTTTATGGTTTTTGGAGTTTATAAGAGTTTTTAAAGGGTTTACAAGGGGTTTAAAATGGTTTTTAAATATTTACAAGGATTTTTAAAAGAATTTTATAAGAGTTATAAAGAGATTTACAAGTGTTAATAAAAGTTTTGAAAGGATTTACTACAGTTATAAAGTTTTTAAAGGAGTATTCAAGGATTTACAAAGGTTTTAAAAGGTTTACTAGAGTTTTAAAGGTTTTGGATGACTTATAAAATATTTACATGGGATTTGAAATGATTTCTTAAGGGTTTTAAAAATATTTACAAGATTTTATAAAAAGTTTTTTAAGGAATTGCAGAAAAAATATGGTTGGAAAGTTTTGATCGGAATTTTTTGGCGAGAAAAATTTGGCAGAATTTTCTTATGAGAATAACTTGTATTTACCTCATGATGATGGAGTCACAATGAACAAATGATCTTGTTATATCATTTAACATACTTTCCTAACTAATGTTCATATAACATATTTACAAATCATTAATATGACACAATTCATAGGTTTCGGCCGTAACGGTAGTCACAAATATTTGGATTGGTCGTAATATTTGTAGACTTGTAGTATAACACACAATTGAGAAAAAAAAAATCGATTATCCCTTAACTATTAATGAGAGATATTGTTAGTTTGTTACTGAATAAAAAGTTCTAACCTAATTAAAGTAACCACTTTGGGCAACTTTAAAAAATCGCTTCCAAGTGAATTGCAGGGACTCTTTGTATTCCCGCACACTAATCAAGATCCCATGCATCTTCTTCATTTATTTATTCCTTGCATGTAAAACCCAACTCAAAAGACAGAACCATTCGGTAACTTTGTAAGACCAAACATAGGTTCTTCTGTTTTTTTGTTCTTTTTTGCATCTGTTCCTTTTCTGCCACACTGAATGTTTTTATAGTTTCCGAACATATATACAGTTTGAACTTGTTGTTCTTCTCTTGCACACTAGTTAATTTTTATTATATCTAGATCTAGCTAACTTTTGTTGTTAAAATTGTACTTTGAATGTAAGAGTAAAACGAGGAATCCCAGTTAGTTTTATTTTTCTCTTGTTTCTCGATAACGACTAAACAGAGTTACTTTTTTTTTTTGTTTTCCTCTTACGGTCTTGTAGTATCTAATGGCTAAGCAAGATGGTAAGAAAATTGTATGGGTGATAAAGAACTTCTCCTCTTTGCAATCTGAGGAGTGTATTTATTCTGATCCAGTCCTGATCGGTGACTGCAAATGGTAACATTCGAAGCTAACAATTTCCAATGCTCTATTGTCCATCTAGTAATAGTATCTATCATCCATGGTTTGGTTACTTGTTTCTTCTTCTTTTTCTTCAGGCGTCTTTGTGCATGTCCCAAGGGAGACGGAAACATTGATAATTACTTTTATTTGTTTGTTGAAGTTGCTGATGATGAATCATTGCCTTCTGGATGGAAAAGATTCGTTAAATTTCAGCTAAATATATCACAGCCGGGAAAAAGCGTAGTATCGAAAAGTAACATCGAACTACTTGATTGATTTTGTTCAATGGTCTTCTTTGTCAGTATTTTATTTGATCGACCTTCTTATTTAATATTAAAAAAAGAAAAGCATATGGTTTTATTATAATCAAAGGTATTGTTATGCTGCAAATTAGAATCTACATTGTCAAGAATAGTTAAGGGATGCCAGTGATTTACTTCAGTGTGAACACAATGGATATGGACTAATTAACTATTGTAATCAACTGCTGCAGAAGGACAGGTCTGGTTTGATAACGAGTCTTGTAGCTGGGGATTTCAAACTATGATCCCCCTTACAAAACTTCATGACAAAAAGAAGGGATTTGTTGTGGATGGAGAACTCACTATTGTTGCTTCGGTAGATGTTCTTGAAGTTATTGGTACATTGGATGCATCAGAAGAATCTATAGAGTCAAGCCGCCCTCTGAAAAAGATGAAGCTAAGTAATGATGATAATAATGTGGAAGCTTCATCAGTAAAAGAAAGCATTGTTGTTAATGGGTTTCAAGTTCTTTCTTCACAGGTATGTATGTAATCAAGAATGGTGCAAACCTCTTTTTTAGTTTTACAAGAAGTGTGATCATATATGTTTTTCGATAGAACAATACTTGGGTTCGCTCCTTGAGGTGAACCTCCTTATTCATTAAATTTCTTTTTCACTTGTAGGTAGAATCTGTGAGATGTATATTTGAAAGACATCCAGACATTGCAGTTGACTTCCGTGCTAAGAGCCAACATATCAGGACAACATGCATGAGTTTCTTGCTCAGCTTAATCGAGACACTGTGCAAGTCACTTGAGGAGATTTCCAATGAAGATTTCGTGGATGCAAACATTGCGCTGACATGCCTGAAAGATGTGAATTTTAAGGTGGATTGGTTGGAGAAGAAGCTGGACCAAGTGAAAGAAAATAAAGAGAAAGAGCAGTCTGCTTTGGCCCAACTTCAAGAAACAGAAGAAAGCATACTAAAGTTGAAGCAAAAGGCTGAGGAGCAGAAGGCTGTGTTGTTGGCCACCAGAACAACTCTATCTTTCGATGATGTTGTTTGATGGCTTGGATTCTTAGGCATTTGATGTTCTCATATTTTCGTTTCTCATTTTTGGTAATTGAACTTGTGTTTGAGGTTATTGTCACATTTTGTATTGCCGCTATGGTTTATCTAAGTCATCATCATCCTCAAAACCAAAATTAACGAGATTCTTGAAGATCCAACCACCGGTTCCCCATAGTTAAAAACGTCGTCATATTTAACAACATCTTCGTAAGCTTACAGTTGTTAAGCTAGCCTTACACATTCAATGTAGAAACTACAAGAAAGTGATGAGAATAATTTGTATTTACCTCATAATGATGGAGTCACAATAAACAAATGATATCGTTATATCATTTAACCTACTTTCCTAACTAATGTGATCATATAACATATTTACAAATCAAATAATATGACACAAAACATAGGTTTTGGCCGTAATGGCTGCCACCAATATTTGGTTTGGTCGTAATAGTTATAGTATAACACACAATTGAGAAAAAAAAAATCGATTATCCTTAACTATAATGAGAGATATTGACATATTGTTATTGAAGAAAAAGTTCTAACCTAAAGACTAAGAGAGTTTCTTGTTGATAAAGTAATCACTATAGTGGACTGGGCTGTACATAGAACTTCTTTAATACCCCTCTTTTTATTTTTTTCTAACAAATTTAATTATTTATTGTAGAGACTCTTTGCATTCCCGCACACTATTCAAGATTCATGCATCATCTTCATTTATTTATTCCTTGCATGTAGAATCCAACTCAAAAGACAAAACTTCTCGGTGACTTTGTAAGACGTGACCAAACATCGGTGAACTCAAAAGAGTAGAAAGAAGAATCTTGTTAGTTTTTTTTTTTTTTCTTTTGTTTCTCGATAGTGTTTGATTTGACATGTGTGTGCGATATTGACTAAAAGGGTTTTTTTTTTTTTTTCCTCTTTAGGTCTTATAATAGTATATAATGACTAAGCAAGTTGGTAAGAAATTTGTATGGCTGATTCAAAACTTCTCCTCTTTGCAATCTGAGAAGTTTATTTATTCTGATCCCGTCCTGATCGGTGGCTACAAATGGTAAAAAAAGAAACTAATTTTTTCCATGTTTTTTTTTGTCGATCTAGGTATAGTCACCATCTATATTACATGGTTTTATGATTTGTTTCCTCTTGTTTCTTCAGGCGTCTTTGTGCATATCCCAAGGGAAACCAGGTCGCTGATCACTTCTCTTTGTTTCTGCAAGTTGTTGATTATAAATCATTGCCTTCTGTATGGAGAAGATTCGTTAAATATCGGCTAACTATAGTGCCACAGCCGGGGAAAACTCTAGTACAGAGAAGTAACTATATTACTAAGTGTCTTTGTCAACTTAAGTGTCAGTAACTACTTGATTGATTTAGTTCAATGCTTAAGTGTCTTTGTCAGCTTAAGTATCAGTAACATATATACATAGTAATTAGTTTGAAAGTAGCATTGCTAGAATTTGTTTTTCAGCCATCTTCTTATAGATTATAATATATACATAGCAAAGCAAAGCAAATAAGTATATAGTTCTCTTTCTGAAAACAATTGACATGGATTAGCAGAAATTATTTGATGTTAATTTAACTATTGTTACAGAATCACATCGCTGGTTTGATAAAATGGGTTTTAACTGGGGGTATGGATTAATGATCCCCCTTACCAAACTGCAAAACAAAGATGAAGGATTTCTTGTGAATGGAGAACTCACTATTGTTGCTGAGGTAGATGTTCTTGAAGTTGTTGGCACAGTGGATGCATCTGGCAAATCTATAGAGTCAAGCTCCCCTATGAAGAAGAGAAAGCTAAATAACGCGGAAGCTTCATCAGTAAATTGGATTCAAGTTCTTCCTTCACAAGTATGTATGTAATCAAGAATGGTGCAAACCTTTTTGTTAGTTTTATAAGAAGTGAATAATATATGTTTTGTGGACTCAATTGAATATTTTTTTCCTTACAGAACTAGATGCTCTAGCTGAGGAGCAGAAGGCTGTGGTGTCGGCCACCAGAACTACTCTATCATTCGATGATGTTGTTTGATAGTTTGGATTCTTAGGTATTTTGGTGTTCTCATGTTGAAGTTTCTCATTTTATTAGTTGAACTTATGTTTCAAGCTGTTGTCAAATTTTGTGAAGCAAGTGTACTGCCGCTATAGATATTCATTTTCCATTATATAAAAAATTAGCTAGTCTTGTGTACTGCAATTTGATTATTTTTAATGTTTGATCCCATATGCTTCACATTATCCAATTTATTGTTTTATCTTAGTTCATTTTTTATCTCAAACTTCTATTGAACAATGTTTAATCTTTGTAGATTTTATTTAGTTTATACTTATCAGTCAATGTTGTAGCCTTTGTACTTATTAGTGAATATTTTAGCTTTTGAGCACAAATGAGGAAAAAAAAAAACACATTATAGCAAACAAAATAAATACAAAGAAAGAGTCTACAAAATATAATATCATGAACACACCAATTATTGAAAAAAAGAAATTGGAAACAATGCAGCCAACATTAGTCTGAGTGATCATAATCATGCAAAAGTGGCTCATTAGACAAATGTTGAGAATCAGGACGAGAAAAGTTCGCCAAAAGAGCAACATTGACGTACTCATTAGGAGAATGTGCAGGAAGTCCTGGAATCAACAATCCGACAAGTCTAAAACATGTCAACAACCATCCTTCTCTGTATTCTCTACCTTGCCAACAAGACATGATGAAACTCCTTATCAACTCCCACATTGCGTTCAAAATCTTCGGTATAACCAAGAAGATGTTGAAGTAGTTTTTGTTTGGTTCCTCTTCTTCCACCTTAAAACAGTATAACAAATACATATATTATATCAGTTGGGAAACAAAAGCACAAAAGCAAATGCTAATAACTTAATTGGTAAAAATCTCTGGCAAAAGCTTAAAAGTCGCCGGTTCGAGTATCGTTTTTTCTCAAAGATGCTCTAGTCTTGAGTCTGAGAGTATGTATGGGTTTCGGCCCAAAGCCTTTTAGTTATTGAAAAAAACATTTATAAACAAAAGCATAAAATTGTTATTTATAACCAACCTTTCCTTTGTAGAAACTGTTGCAATAGAGGCAGTCCCCAAAATGTTTGAACAGAAGTGTCTTGTCGTCGAAAGGCAACCTAGGAACCATGTCGTTGCAATAAACATATCTTTTGTACTTTACGCGAAATTCCCTTAACTTTTCTTTCATGTAGTTTCCAAAATCCGCGTTCCCTACTCGAGGCTGCCCAAATGTGTAAACTCCTTCAAGCCTCTCTAACATTTCCTTCTCGTCATGCATCATTAACACGGCTGTGAACAAGATCGCTAGTGCTCCACCTAGGCTATGTCCGGTCAGGATAAAGTTGGATGTCGGGTTTTGGTTGAAAACGTCTTTCAACTGACGTAATATTGTGTAGTATGCAAGTTGACTTGTTTCATTTTGTGTTTGGTCAGAGTTTATTCTTCCTTCATGCCATCCTTCTTTTGGAAGGCCTAAAGCTTTCATGAATCCGCCATGGATCTTTCCCACATTCATAATCTCGTACCTGTGTTTGAAATCCACATTAGTTTGGTCAGGAAGCTATAATATTGAACTTAACCTAACCTAAATGTAATTACTAGATGATTATGTAGATTTGTGGGGATAGAAAATTAAAACAATATACTAATAAAAATATTACCAAGAGAGATCCAAGTCAGTACACCAATCATTGGCATTGAAAGGATCGGTGCCTCTGAAACTGACGACGATGATGTTCGGATTTTGTTTTGTGTCCCTTATAACAATCACCTCTGTTGACCTCGTTTGGTCGTAATCTGAAAAGCTCAAGTTAAAGAATAAGATTGTAATGTCTATTCAGAATAATTAGTAAATAATTAATGAATGTTTTACAACAAAATCATAGCACTTTTTTTTTCAATAACCTAAAATCGTATAAATTTTTATTAAAACTCGAATCATTAAAAATATATGCATGGTTGTATATACGCCTCTTATAAAAAAGATTTAAACAAGTGAAAATATATTTAAATCTTTTAAAACTCTCAAAACATAGATTTGTAAACTCAAACAAGTGAAAGATAATAACTATATAAAACTTCTTAGGTCATTATTAATTTGACTATATTAGTGGAATCAAATTATGTCTCACCATTCCGACAGGTGTAGAAACCCAACAAGTCCATCTTTGCCAGAACATAATAAGAAAATAATAGTGATCATAAGTGATTTTATTAATTAATGAAAAAATCAAAGAGAACATGCATGATCATTACTTACTTTGTACGTTATAATATCATTATCTCAATGAACTAAAGATAATAGCCAATAATAGGAAAATGAGAAAAGTCTTCTCTTCTTATTTTAGTATAGAAAATGAAAGAGTTTAGTCAATAGAACCTGCCAATGATCTTGAAGAACGGATCTGATACAATTCTCATTCTCATAAGACAGCTTAGAAGCCATAATAGACAACAATGGTTTGTATCTTTCATCCCCTATCTCTATGCTCCGGCCTAAACCTAAGTCTATTCTTTGGTCTAGGTTTCCATTTAGTGATGCAAATGTGGCTGATGTTTTTTCCGGCCAAACAAACCTTCCTGAAAAAACAATTCCAAAAGCTATATAAATGTGAAGCTTATTAGGACAAAACAAGAAAGTCAAAAGAATGTCTAACTTTGGACAAGATTTAGGAAAATCTTGAAGAAGCCACCATTGGAAGAAGGAAGGTTAAGCCAAAAGCCAAGAACGAATCCAAAGAAGGAGAGAGGTTTCCTTAGGAGAATCATGAGTTTCTGAACAACAATGGATACAAAAATGATCCACCGTCCCCTGAATCGGCAAAGATCATTGTGAATGTTCTCTATGGAAGTATCAACGAAATTTCGATTTTCGAGATCCGAGTAGAAGAGAAGATACATCAGATCCTTGAATGTGGCTTCTCTTGGATCAAGAAGGAAATAGTTTTCTGGTTGAACCATTTTTTGTTGTTGTTAGAGGTTAAGTTGTCAATGTTAATTGAGCTAAGTCCACGATTAGCTTTGTGTAGTTATAATGTTACCATTAATATATTTAATACCACGAGTCCATGTGGCTTGGATTGTTTATTCCAATATTAAAGATTCGAGGATCAATGACTATTTATATACCACATGAATCTATTCTTCTTAAACTACACGAAGACGTAACCATAAATGTGACTCGCCGTCACGAAAAGTTGTCACGGCGGAAATATTAATTCTTCAACTACACTGATTTTGTCGAACCTACCGTCTCTCTCGGCCGGTTGAAGTACCAATCTCCGACAGTTGTTTTGCTTTGCTTCGTTGCTTTTGTAGTTTTTACCTAATATTATATATCTATTTTAATTATAAACTAAAAGAAATAATTATCTACAGTTTTGAAATTTTTTAAAACTATATTTTCTTTAACAAATAGCCATTTTTTAAGTACAAATTAAAAAGAAAATAAATTTACTTTTACTTTTGTTGTAGCTTAATAATGCTAGAACAAATATGTGCTATACATGCCTATAGCACTGCAAATATTATCGATATGTAAACTATTATAAAATATTACATCTCATAATGTATATTTTGATGGATCGACTCGTCAATTACATTCATAAAAATATTAATCCTAACACGCTCTACCATAAAATTGTGGGGTTTGAAACCTACCCGTATATTCTTGAAAACATCATGATATTCTAATTGAATAATATTTATCTTATAACCAAAATGAATATAGAAATCATAAACAATATGATAATAAACAAATTAAATTAGTAAAATACATTCAGTCTTTCTTATTGTTGAGTATTGATACATCAATTTGATTTTCGTCCAATATGATCTTTACCCTTGAAAGAGGGGATAAAATGAAAGAGAAGAATCTTACAAACTTTCAGTTTTGTTTGTAACAAAGTAAAAAACAAAAAGTACAAAGAAAAGTATTTGCAATCTAAACCAATAAACATAGATTAAATGTGTGTTGTTGCAAAAAAAAAACATGAATTAAATGTACATAGATAATAATTAGTACTAATTAATTAATATTTGGATGCATATCTTGTATTTTTAGTTTTTGGAGATGATGACGATAATCTCCATAGCTTTTCGAAGATTCAATATTAGAAGCTGCAACATAAACACTTTAAGTACAATTAAAAGAAAACTAAATACTAAAAGTAAAACGTCATAAAAAAAGCAATGGTTAAGAAAAACCATATACGTTTATGTTTTCTTTAGACAATGTATAAATAAAAAATGCTACTGTAAATCAAAATTTACTTTGATGATTATAATTTGCATTAAACAAATTTTATTTATACCCGTATCATATAAGAACATATGAGTTTGATGCAATTTTTTTTTTCATATTCCTGTAAAAAAAATATATATACTAATATATATGATATATGATAAAAAAAACAAAAAAGATTATTGTAAATGCACATATCGATTTGCTCTATTAAATAAATAGCTATCTAAATTAATTAAATACATTAAAATCATATTATTTGATAAAAAATGATAAATTGTACTTTATAATTTAGATGAACAACCATGGTAACAAAAGAATTGAGGAATGGAATAAGAGGGATAGAGAGAGAGAGAGAGAAGAAGAAGAAAGTACGTTACCTATAGTTATTTGGAGAAGAAAGTATGTCAAACAATCTAAGTTTAACGGAAAAAAATAAATAAGATTTTTGACATCAAAATCAACAGGGCAACTTTTATCCAGTCTATTTAACTTCCACAAAGTATTTATCCTTCACTTAGTTTGAATTATGCGGTGTCAAGCTGAGTGTATTCAGCTCGTTCGTCTTGTACTATCATATTTGTCACTCTGTGGAAGTGGAATAGATTGAATAAAAGTAGCCCAGTTGGGATAAATATCATCAATGAGATTGTAACCCAAATGATACTGTCGGCCGTTGACAAAGTAATTCACAGTTAGAGCCATACCATTTAATATACTGTATCATTAAAAGCTAGAGAGCAATCAAGAACGTTGATATCGTTTAGGGTATCTGGTGCTCAAAAAATGCATGACAAAAATAATTTCTAACAAGAAGATGCCATATTAGAAAGAGATTTGTTGTTCTGGAAATAGAGTGTATTTGAAAATATGATTTCTTGCAATAGTGTGTTATGTTTATATAGAAAAATGTGTGGATTTAGTGTAGAGCAAAATATGTGGTTGTGGTAAAAATAAATTTTTGTGGTCTATATGCTAGAAAAATGTGTGTATTTGGTGTTCTATCAAATTATGTGGTTATGGTGAAAAAGAATAACTTGTGGTTATTATCCTAGAAAAACTTGTGGATTTGGTGTTTTATCAAGTTTTGTGGTTTTAGTGTAATAAATAACATGTGGTCCATATGCTAGAACAACTTGTGGTTCAAAAACAAAGTATATATAGATAACATTACATAACAAATTACATAAGAACATATCAAATTAGATAACATAACATTACATTACATAACGTAGCAAGTAATCTCTAATAAACTTGTTCGGAAACAAAAAATATAAGATTTAGCCTTCTCTTGAAGTTGAACCCATACACCACAGACTTCTTCTTCTCTTTATTCGTGAATTGATACAACACCGACTTCTTCTTCCAGACAACAAAAAGAAATCAGTGAGTACAAAATTCAGTTCCAACTTAAACAAAACATGAAACAAGAAATCAGTGAGTAGAAATACTAGCTTAACAACATGTCAGTTATGAGCTTGTGCTTTAAAGGTAATGAGTGGTTCTGGTTTGGCCAAGAGGCTGTCACCAAAATTTTGATCCTTTCTTAGATATAGTATACATACTTATAGCTGAAGAAGCAGTAGATTCTGAAAGTGCATATGTGTGACTAATTCAACTTTGTGTATGATCGACTTCGAGTATGTATGAGCATAAAGTAAATAAGGCACAAGATTTGTTAACGGGGTTCAGATAACCTATATCCCCAGAACCTAGTCCGAATATCATTAACTAGAAAAGTCCGCAACCTACAATTGCTATATGGAATCCACCAACTCTTTCCTAAAATTACAATGAAAGAAGACTACTACTAATTGTCTTTTCAGACTAGTGTAGATCTTCTACAAAACCATCAAAAAATCTCTCTATCTTGTTGATGGGGCGACACCACACACCTTGTGTGCATCTCTCGTAAATACCTTGAGGCGCGCAAGTCTTCATGAAGCGCCCTCTTGGTATTTACAACAATTTTCCAACCCTAGAGTTGAAAATCTTCCTATTATACACCAATAGGAAGTTTCCTATTTATTCACCAAATAGGAATTGACAAATTTACTTTGTTCTTTATAGATAGGGAAATTTGTCTTTTACGTTCTCATCTTGAATGTACTATTCAAGATGTTTATCCAGCTCAGCAACCGCTTCTTGGCTTGTCCAAGTGGGTCCCAAACTTCGGTATTCCCATTCTTCAAAGTAGTCACACAGCTCGGCTTCTTGTACTACTTCACGTACTGCCTCCTGTACTACTTTGAAACTTCGCATAGTCTTACCACAACTGTGTCAAGTAGTGCTTCAACATCTTTAGCAGTTATGCTTTCTATATTACGTCATGTTATTACCTTGTAGCCGCACAACTCAGCTTCTTGTACTACTTTTTGTATTGACGTCAGAACGAGTTCAAGCACTGCTTCATCTTCTATGTCAATTCTGTCCATTCATTTCATGTATCATCATAATATGTTGACATGTTAAGATAGCTTATAAAACTCATTCAACACAACATCTTCAATCTCTCCCTTGATGATTGAGTTTTATAACCAATTAAGCACCTTATAAATCCAGTCAACCCAACATCTTCAAATTCCAAGTCAGTCATAGGTTCTCCAACATACTTAACAATCTTCCAGAGTAGACGACCTCGGATAAATTAGAAACATGCAAAAGATCCAAAACTGAAAATATTAGAGAGCATAGATATGAATAATATTTCTACGTCTTCGGGTCTAAACCCATCAAATATGTCTAAATAAGACAAGTATCTAATAATTTTGGGCCTCAATATCTATGAACCCAAATTTAAAATGTATAAGACTCACCTTTAGATACCCTATGATTGACCATTGAAGGTGGTCTTAGAGTTCATTTAAAATACAAAAAATACCCAAGATGATGGACCTAAGGAACTATCCGTTACTCGTTTTATTCGCCGTGGAAGAACATGCATGAGCCATAACCTCTTGTGTTTTATTTTTATTTATTTAATTAATATGAATCTATAACATATATATCCTTCTCTCTTCCAAGATAATATTTTTCAAAATTGATTAACACGATATTCAAACGCAAATAATCATTAAAAACCACATTTCTAATCTACGAAATAAAATCAAGTAAATACGCATAAAGTTGAATTGTTTTTAATACAAGTTAACATCTCATCCATAGACTTGATATGTGCCACAAATATGTTAATTACTAATTTTAATAACCAAATTTTATATAATAATATAATAATGGTAATATTCTATGCAAAATCATAGTAGACCGGAGTTTTACTATTTTTTTTGTTTTTTTTTTCATATACGACATAAAAAATGTTGTGGATTTTGGTTAGATCTATTTATTTTTAACCTTTCAATGCAAAACGCTATTCCATTACAAGTCCTTTCTTGTCCTTTGGTTGAACCTGCTTAGCAAAACCCATGAGGTGTGCCGTTATACACGTACAAGTATTGAATTATTCACTGTCACACTCACTGACTCACACACATACGTACAAAATATATTCTATCTTTGGACTCATAATTACTTAACAATACAATTTCAACGGTTACGGTGAGAGCAAGTTGGGTCCTGTCTAAGAAAGACGTTTCCGTATGTATTGATTCATTGATGTACAATATGAACGAACAGAGAAAACAAAGGTGGGTTTGGTGAAAAAGACTTTGTATTCGATAACCCTTCTAGGGTTTTTACATGTTTCTTTTATATACATCATTGAGAACAATCTAGAATCCTTAATTAACAGCTGTATTTGGTGACTCATTGGATAGACATTGCAGGAG